GATGAGATCGTCGGTCTTTGATGGCAGTTCTCCTGTCATGCATTCCGAACCTTTTGACTCTCTATGCACATGTGCCTCAATATGATCCTGTTATGGCTACTTTTCTGATAAGAACACTTGAATTGCAGGCCTCTGGGAAGTCATCTTATCCTCTGAATAAGCCCAAGGGGCTAGTTTGGAAGTTCCTGTGGTAGTTAATAACAACGATTACCCGGATCATGAAGTGGAATCATTCTCAGATCGAGATTATAAAAAATATTACATCGGATCCCAGTCTTAGCTACTGTTGGCCAGTCTTCTACCTGCCAAGTCTGCAGAATTCGTCGTTATTTGGTATCGATCCGAAAGAAATAGCCAAGTTCCTACGTCGCTCTGCTGCTGTTTCTCATGTGGAAACTCTCCATGTGGTTGGATGTTCTGGCTCGGTATTTACCCTCCCAAATGTTCAAGCTTTTTTTATTCGCATAGAAAGATTGAAAAGTCTCTCACCTTATCTCGACAATGATGACTACCTCTCGGGGATTTCGAACACCGAGATCTGGGCCTGCCTGCAGAAACGCAAAGACAGTCTTGAGATCATCGATATCTTTCGGATGGATAGAAACTGTGGTAGTGATCCTGGCTATTTTGGTCTTCTTCGTGAATTCACGAAGCTTAGGCATCTGTCTGTCTAATTTGACATCCTCCTGGGCAGTTGCTGCGACTCCCTTGTGCCTTTTTCCTTGCAAGACACGCTGCCATCAACAATACAAGCTCTCAAGATGTATGACAGCGGGCTCCCCGATCTCAGAACTTTCTAAATTCTCAAGAACTTCTACTCCGTTGAGCTGAAGATGCAGAAAATGCCAACAACACAGAGGAATGAATGGGGGATAGCAAACATCAATACGACGGTCACATCGACCATTAGATATGTTATGGTTTATCCTGAGTGTTTTATTTTTTTCCGTAGTCTTTTAATGGAAATAACAATGTCAGAATGAAAACGCATTTGAGTTCATAGCTAAAGATTAAGATATTGGCCTCCAGATAGAGATTGCTTTTTCAGTTTCACATCTCCGAAATTTGGAGAAAACATTCCTTCCCAGTCAATCAGGACCGCATCTGCAAGCTACCGAATAATAAAGAACCACCGGACCATAGCCACACTCAGCTGAACAGTAAGAATGATTGAAGAGTAGCTTAATCAGAAGGTGTAGACAGCGATGGCCAATAGGGCTCCGATCACGACAGTAGAGATGGGAGCCTTGGCAGAAACGCCAGTGCCATTGTGACTGGAGTCCTCCGCTGTAGAGTTGGACTTGGTCTTCGAGTCGGTCTCGTTTGCCCGCTTGGCGGTGACCTTGTCGTTGTAGTGAGCCTTGGCGTTCCAGGGGTATGGCTTGGTGTCATACGACGGTTCCAGGTGTCCGTAGGTCTTCTTGACGATATCCAGGATACCGTGACCGGCGGAGCACTTCTCATTGCTATCGGTGATAGGAACCGGCCACTCGGCCTCAAACTTGGAGGTATTACCAGTGGACGTGTCCCCAATTGACAAGGGACCAGGGTAGGTCTGGTTAAGGGTGAGGTGGGTGGTGTCGACCTCGTAGTTGACGTAACCAGTCTTGTTGGCGACAATCTCAAAGAGGTTGGCACCGCAATCCCAGCGACCGAGGGAAGGAAGACCCCAGTTGGCGGAGACACTGGCAATGCTAGAGTAGTGAGTGTAGAAGGTATCGTCCTTGGTACCCTTGAGGTGTTCAGGAACAGCACCACCAACGAGAACGCTGAAGACACGGTTGTCACCCGAGTAGGTGTCATCTTCATCAAAGGTCAGAAGGAGGAGGGTGTTGTTGTAGAAGTACTCGTTCTCGAGCAATTTGGCCACCCAAGGACGCTCCCACTTGGCAGCAAAAGTGATGCTGGTGTCATGAGCATCGTTGGTCATGTTAGGAGTGATAAACGCCCACTGAGGAAGCTTCTTGTCCCGGAGATCATTTTCGAAATCATCAAAGCTCTTGATAGAACGCAAGCGAGTGTCGTTGGCTGCAACAGAGTCGTAAAGCACCATCGGGTTGTGCTTCCGAACGTAATCAGGCTTGTAAGTTTCCTGGTTGGAATAGTTGTAGCCCTGGAAACCGGCATAGGGAATGTGCTCCTGGTATTCAGCCCACGAGATGTGCTTGGTGTCAAGCACATCAGCAATGGAGGAAACATTCTCAGGGGCCTGCTTGAAGTCGTCGTTATCCATTCCAAACGTGTCACCGCCAGCGGCAGCGCAGTAGTTGGGCTCGGAAGGATGGGTGACAGCATAGTAGTTGGTCCTAAAGAGCATCAGAATGGGTCATCTCAGTCATAGGCAAAGTCACTGGAAACGTACAGCAGAATACCCTGAGAAGCAAGCCACTGCATGTTGGTATCCGCGGCGGCTTTGTCATAGTCCTATGAGCTTGTCAGTCATGTCTCAGGTACTCTATGAATTGGAGATGTTTTGGGGGTTTGTCACGTACGATGTTCTCCAACCAGACTTGATAGAAACGATCAAAAGCCAAGCCCTTGACATTGGAGACAGTGACTTCCGGCTTGGTAGTTGCGGCAGCCGCATGAATCTCCGCCAGAGAGGGCTCAGTGGTAGTAGCTGTCTTAGCGACTGCCAGAGCAGCCACTCCCATCAGAACCGCGAGAACGGCCTTCATCTTGACGGATCAGGAGATCAAAGATTGATGTAGCTGATAAACCGAGGCAAACTGAGGATGATGGTAAGAAAGAAGAAAGAAGAGAAGGAAGAAGAAAGGATCGTCGAGAGATTTATGGAAAGGGTGTCACTACACGTGCATCTTACATCCACTCGGAGATAAAACGAGATATACCTGACCGGTACGTAAGTTACTGTGCTCTTACCAGGGTTGTTCAAGTCTCATGTAGGTACTATGTCCCTGATGTTGAGTTGATGTTTAGAATGTTGTTTGTACGACGTTGGCACATGTCGCAATGGAGCGCTCTGATTGGCCGGTACCGACAAAGGTACTAAATGAGGGTTCACGCCAAGACCAAAACGAATGCTTAGCTGATTCCATGGCCCTTCACCAAGCTTGGACAGTAAAAAGCCCTAGAGTACATAGTCCTTCAAATAATATCTATATAGACCCCGTGAACATATAGAATAGTAAATATGAAGAAGTGAAGTCTACCCGATTAACTTTTTGCAATTTCCGTTAACAAGATCCAATTGAAGTGGAGACTTATCGGACGCTAGCCCATGTGGTTTTCTGGAGAAAACCTTGGAAGCTGACTCGGATGCTTAGCCCGACGCTTAGCAAGTGGGGAACGCGTGCCCAGGCAAATCAATATGCTTGGCCTAGGGGCGTGCTGAGCTTCACCCAATGATCAAAAGGTCATTGACAATAGGTGAGTGGAAGAAACCACACATATGTAGGGATTTTATGTAGGTATACCATAAGAGTACCCGTGGAGATGCATATTATACAGGGGTGATATATTGTGTATCATATGATCACCTCAGGACTGCCTATTAGGGCAGTTTCTCACCTGAGTAGTTGTCGGGGGATATCAGTAAAACCAGCAGTCATTTCGAGAAGGGCCGGAGAATAAGAATTTCCGAGCAAATAATTGGAATGAAAAATCTCTGTGAATTTGATAAAGGAATAATATAGGGCCGTGCTATCTATCTAGATGAGGTTACACCCCCTGTGCGGGGGTTTCAAAATGTATCCATTGTACTAGTCAGGAAGGTGACATTGGCGAGGCTCATTACTATGCTTATCCAGGGCTGCCTGAATCGGGTATATATTTTTTTGAATATTAAATGAGAATTCTATTATACAGGTCATCAGGTATCATTTGTATATATTGTCTGTAGGGAAATCCTGCGACGCTTCATATCCTGGTCTAGAATCTCCTACCATAGTTCTCGGTTTAGATCTTGTCTTCTGGGCCGCCAATGCCCTCGAACTGACCTGCCCTGGCGAGTCTGGAAGGGAAAGAAAGTTAACAATGTGAACAGTTGACATCTCACAGAGCAGTGTATGGCTTACCTGTTGCGGTCATCACGAGTGCCACCCTCATCCTCGGGGATTATAAGGCGGTCGCTGCCAGAGGCGGCTGAGCCAGGGCCATACTTCACACCTGTGGGCTGAGAGAATCGTTGGTTGACCATCTCGTCAACACCAGACTCGACAGCTTGAATGGCTGTTAGTCTAAATAGTTTCGGTTAAGACCGGCTTCTCCACGTACTTGAGTCACTCTTCTTGCCGAGACCCTGTTTGGCCTGGTAGGAGTTGAGGTCCCTCTCCGCGTTGAGGGCCACCCGGTTCAATTCTTCGGTGCGAGGCATGTTATGTTCTTGGTGTTGTAGTATATGTAGGTAGCCTGATGGAAGTTTGAGGCAAAGTTGAGCCTTGAGATTGCTATCTACTGAGCTGAATTGCGCTTTATATACATTGCTCTGGATCCTCTCCACATCCACATCATACCTACTTCACTTCATGTGGAAAATTGTAGTTGCATCATGATACATCATAGGTATGTCACGAGGAAGATGGAAGGTGTTGTATGTTGCAAGTAAACGGAATATTTTTGCTCGAAAACCTCAAAGGTGTCAATTGTAGTTCGATAATGTTCCAACATTTTAAGCTTCCAACCTTGGAAGCTGGTTGAGGCTGACTTCACCGTCTCCACTGCCCAGGAGAAACATTGGGAGCCCTAGCAACAGGTCTGAATTGGGACTGAATTTAGGGTCCAGCCCTAGGGTTTGGCGGGACCGGAGTATTAATTTTCCGGAGGCGGGGAGTTTATGCTGGAGAGGGACCTCGGGAGCTCCGACGAGACATGTTAGTTCTTTGATCAATCAGCATCTTGGAATTCGCGTAGAGTTCCTTTTCATGAATGTCTAGTGACTCAGGGCACATCAGTCAAACTCTGATCTGGTGCTTGTATTAGCAGAACTAGGCTTTACAGGTCTTTTTTCACGCGTCGATCGATCAACTCCGCTATTCGCCATGGCCTTTGCCATCGAAGCACAGGGCGAGACCAACCCACTTAGCCCGCAGAATGTGCTCAACACCCTAGTCCTTGCAGCAAGCTCGTCTCAGCAGCAAGTTCGAACGGGCACTGAACAGCTCCAGAACTGGGAGAAACAGGGCATGTACTACTCTTTTCTACAGGTATCAATTAACAGTCTTGGTTGTTGTTGTCGTTTCACCTAATAACACATTCTACAATATACAGGAAGTCTTCCTTGATCACTCCGTACCGAATGAAGTTCGCTATCTCGCCATCATCCAACTGAAGAATGGCATCGATAAATACTGGCGCAAGACAGCACCAAAGTATGTTATCGGAATATAGCTAGGATGAGGGCATACTAACACTGATAAAAGTGCGATCAAACCGGAAGAAAAGGAACATATCAAGACCCGAGCTCTTGAGGCAGGAATCGTTGAGCCTGCGCCGCTGTTGGCTCTCCATAACTCGTTGATGATTGCCAAGATCATGCGATTTGAGTTTCCTCATGACTGGTATGATAAGTTGCAGCTGTGTGTCTTCTTATTCTAATTTCGATCAGGCCCGATGCTATTTCGTACATCATTTCCTCACTCCGAACCTCCGTCCAGCCTGGAGCAAATCCACTCCAACTTCCCCGAACTCTCCTCATATTGCTACAAATAATCAAGGAATTATCCACCGCACGAATTCAACGAACGCGACACAATCTTCAGTCCGCATCGCCCGAGATATTCCAGTTACTGGGAGGCATCTATGTCGATAAAGTTAATCAATGGGTCGCGATACTGGAGCAGGGTGGTGCGGGCGAGGGGGAGTTGCTGGAGACGCTCGAATTGAGCCTGGTAGCTCTCAAGGTCCTCAGGCGCCTGATCATTGCTGGCTTTGAACACCCGAGTCGCAGCCAAGAAGTACAGGGCTTCTGGGTGCTGACGCATTCGCACTTCGGCAAATTCCATTCTCTCGTGGACGGGTCTACCAATCTACCTGAGCCAATTCATCGGGCTATCGAGAAACATTTGCTGCAGATGTCGAAGTTGCATGTTGAAATGGCCAAAACACATGCCGCATCTTTCGCGTTGCTCCCAGATAGTATCTCGCTTGTCAAGTCATATTGGTCATTAGTCGTCACACTCGGAGAGAAGTATGACAGCCTTGGTGCTGGGGGCGAAGATGAAGGGAAATCCTTGACCGAGAAGACCGGCCTCCGGGCTCTGCTCCTGATTCGTGCGTGCGCAAAGATGACGTTCAACCCTGCTCAGAGTTTCAAATATCAGACACCGGAAGACAAAGAGGAGCGGAAACAATCTGTTCAGCTTGTCAAAACACAATTGTTTACAGAAGAATTTGTGATCAATGTCATGGAGCTACTAGTCACGCAATTCTTCAGGTTCCGCAAGATCGATTTCCAAGATTGGGAAGAAGAACCAGAGGACTGGGAGAAGCGAGAGGAAGAAAACTCCGACGCTTGGGAGTTCTCAATCCGTTCATGCTCGGAAAAACTTTTCCTTGATCTTGTGATTCACTTCAAGGATTTACTGATCCCACGCTTGCTGACCGTATTCTATACTTTCGCAAGTAAGTTATCGATGAGCTATATGAAGTGTGCACGACTCTAATATTTATATTACAGGCACCGACAACCACAATGTTCTGTTGAAAGACTCGCTGTATTCTGCCATCGGCTTGGCTGCGGCCAGTCTTGAACAGCACCTGGACTTCAACGCATTCTTGGAGCATACCTTGGTTGCCGAGGTCCAGTCCCAGGAACCAGAGTACAAGCTTCTGAGGAGAAGAATCGCGCTCGTGCTTGGCCAATGGGTCCCGGTTAAGGGAAGTGAATTGAACATGAATGCAATTTACCAGATCTTCCAGCATTTGCTCGGCAAGCATGATCCTTTGAACGACATGGTCGTCCGCATCACCGCCGGTCGACAACTCCGGAGTGTACTGGATTCATACGAATTTTCGCCTGAAGCATTCATGTCATTTGCGCCTACTATCTTGGAGAGTCTCATGTCTCTCGTTCAAGAAGTAGAATCATCTGATACAAAGATGGGGCTTTTGGAGACGGTTCGCATGGTGGTGGTCAAGATGGAAGATCATGTAAGTTGTTTTCTCCTTTTCGTTGCTGGCTGCATACTCATCATATTAGATCACCCCCTTCTCGGACCGAATCATCTCTTTACTCCCACCGTTGTGGGAAAGCTCTGGCGAAGAACACTTGATGAAACAAGCCATCTTGACTTTGCTGTCATCTCTGATCCAGTCGCTGGCACAGGAGTCTGTGAGGTATCACTCTCTTATTCTTCCATTGATCCAAAGCTCCGTAGAACCCGGCTCGGTAAGCCCCCTATGAATCATGCTACACATATCAACTTAGCCTAACCTTTTGCCAAGGAAACCATTGTCTACCTTCTAGATGAGGCATTGGATCTCTGGCACGCCATAATTCAAGCTACGCCATCTCCTGCCTCGCCGGAGATCATATCGCTCCTCCCATCGTTGTTCCCCATTCTCGAAGCAGCAACCGATAGCACCCCGCAGGCGATTCATATTCTTGAATCTTATGTGTTCCTTGCGCCGCAGGAAATTCTCAGTGACCGTTTCCGCTTCCAAATCATGGTGATCCTTGAATCACTGCTCAAATCTACAACCAAGCAACGTCTCGGTGTGATACCTCGTCTTGTTGATTTAATCCTTCGCGGTGCCGAGACTGTCGACGGCGGAAGCGAAGCAACCTATGGCGTCATTTCGCAATCCCTTCTAGACAGCTCCCTCCTTGCATCACTGCTAGAAGGCCTTTACTCTGCCTACGAAGTGAGTCAGTCGTCTGGACCAAACAGAAAGTCCTCGCCCGTGGTCGGTGTTGTCGAGAGCGATTACTACTCTGCGCTAGCTCGCCTTGCGCTGGCCAGCCCGACCATTTTAGCCTCATCAGTCGCCGCCGCGACAAACTCATCCGAAGAACAAGCTCTGACCTGGATCATGACCGAATGGTTTTCGCACTACGACAACATTGGCAGCATTAACCAAAAGAAACTCCATGTACTTGCCCTCACCCAACTCTTGGCCCTACAAGGAGCGCCACTCGATCCGTCTCTCCCCCTCCACCCCCTGCCTACATCCTCTCCCACCTACAATCATACCTTAGTGTATGGACAGATCTCATCACCGAGTTGGCAGACGGTGGTACTGACCCCAATGCCGATTATTTGGTCTGCTGGAATGCACCAGCCGGGTCAGAAACCGCGATGCCAGAAAACACCCAAGAGGTCGAATCGCCTGAGATCATTCGTCGCCGTGACTGGCAGTCTGGGGATGCAATTCATCGCTTCATGATCCGAGACTTTGTGCGCCATCGTCTGCAAGAGGTCATTGCTGGCTGTGGTGGGGCACAGCGGTTCCAGGATGAGTGGCTTGTCAACGTCGATACCGAAGTCGTTGCGGCGTTTGGGGCACTTGGTTTGCTTTGAGTCAAAGAAGAAGACATTTCTCGCTTTGATATCAGCATAAGCATACATTTCACTCGCATTATCACCATTCTGTTGTACATGCTTATTACACCCCATATTGTTCCATTTGCACCTATACGTACCGGATATTCCCTGGCGGGTGGGGCTTTCCTATTTGAGCTGCCGCCGCTTTTATGAGGGTGCTCAGGCTCAGGCTCACTGAGTAGATGTCAGCACGGGCTCAGATCAGTGATCATGCTCAGATCAGTCACGTGCAGGATGACTGATGCTCAGTGAGTGCTCAGTGAGTGCTCAGTGAGTGCTCATTGGATGCTCTCTGATTACTCAGTGATGCACTCAGCCCACCTCAGACTATACCCAGAAGGGATTAGCCCCCACAGGGTCGTTTATACTGTGATAGTTAGTTCGTTGATAGCATTGCTGCTGCCCTCATTTTCCGGCGCACTACACCTCATCAAGAAAACACATTATGACGAAGGGGCGCAGGAAAGAGCGGAGAACTCCATCCGTTTCATGATGTCTTTCTTCTGTCTTCTAATTCATTCAGAGCGGCTCGAGCTCAAAGTCCCAAATATAAAGACAGACCGTGTGCCAGCTTTAGCATGTAATAATCAACACGCCTTCTATTTAAGCACTTTTTATTTGGTACATGATCTAATATCGCATTCTTTTACTTTGAATACATTCCCTACCTCCAGGTCGCACCGCACTTGATTATGGGCAGAAAAGAATTTTTTGCCAAGCGCGATGGAATCGCCAAGGAGAGGCGCCGTCTACAGCGAGAAAAGAATGGTTATACTCCTGGGGTCCATAGAGAGGAGGACTTAATTCGGGAGAAAGATAAAAGGCTCCCCAAGACCAACAAATTACATCAAGAAACTATGAACCTCTGGCTCGAGTGAGTTAAGCCGCATCTGAAGTGGCAATCCCTTTCCTATTATAAATTCAGCTGACCTTCCTTTAGTTTCACTGCAGACCCGGAGAATGGGTTTGAAAATTACCAAACCTCCCTTGGTTCTCCGGCTCCAACTCATGAGATGATCAAGGCGTACATTCGCTGGTACACAAGTTCTACTCAAGGGCGACTGAACGATGATGGGCTACCTACGGTAAGAACCGTGAGTGCGCATGCCGAACAATTCTTTGGTGGATTTGAACAATTCACAAAAAGTAAAATCATCCCAGATGATCGAAAGGAAATAAAAATGGTTGGTTTATTCGCAACTTCCCCTCTGAGACCATCATAAACTAACCTCGATGCAGTGGATCAAAAAAACCTTGACGGCAGATGGCGTCGTTGTAGACCAAAAGAAAGAGAAACTTAACTTCACAAGGCATGATTTTTTGAGAGTAGTCTCGTCTTTGTGGCAGACTGATCACCAAACTTTCATTCCGGGACTGCTCAAAGTCGTTATCTTGTTTGCTCTCCAGCTGTTCCTCTTCACTGGAGCAAGAGTCGGAGCTTTTGTACCCTCTAGTGAGGACAAACACGAAAGAGGTCTTCGATACAGAGTAAGCTTCTTTACCCCAGCGATATTATATAACACTAACCTCTATTCTAGCATATCAAATTGGTACTATTTCCTTCATCCACAGCTCGTTGGGCGGTGGGTTGGAAGGTGGATCAGAAGTGGCTCAAAAATCATCGATGTGAAAAATACACAGTGTGAGTCAGAAGGACCTAGTGGTATAATTGTCGAATATACTGGGGCTTCATTAACTGGTGCTTCTAGATTCGGAATCGGTATCCGGGATAGCAACAGGCCGCAATTTGCGTCGGGCTACCTTCTTTTCTCCCTTGCATTAGCACACGGTGCTATTTATGGGGTGGATACCGTGGATGATCTAGCGCAGTTTGATCTTTCAAATGGCGAGATTCATTTGCGATGGAAGGAAGAGTACTTGGATAAACCAGTTCTCAGGCATGCCACGGCGGACGGGCCTCAGGAGACACCTTTGACGAAACAAAAATTTTGTTCTTGCCTGCGTCAGATTTTTAATGCTGCAGGGTACTTTGGTGAACTGGCAACTATCCATTGTATACGACGAGGCCTTGGGAAAAAAATCGAAAGTAAGCCCCTTACACCACACAAAACAATCAATAGACACTCGAGAGAGATCTTCATACTAAGATTTCTACAGAGAGAAATGGCTCTGCACCTGTCAGTCAGATTATGGCGCATCGGGGCCCAGGCACCTTTCCGGAGCATTATCAAGCCCACTGTTCCTCCATAGATACAGTGGGAGCCGTTCTAGATGAGGAAGACCAATCCGATCATATCGAGTACTTTCAAGGTTATGTTCAATATTACGAACGTGGCTTGCCAGGCGAGTTGCCAGCAGAGATCAAAGGGAGTATTTTGGAAAAACCAGATATGGTGGAAATGAGAGCCCAGATCGAATCATTCTCGCAGAACCACGACGAGGATTCCCTCAAGAACATGAATTTGGAATACAGGAAGGCGCTCGTTCGGCATCGTCTGTTCGAACTCAAGCAATATCAAAATCGGTGGGTACAGGAGAAAAGAGACCAGAAAATTATCAATCGAGGAAAAGAAGAGCCGACTCATTTGGAAAATGACATTCGCACACGCGCTCAAATGTTGATTATGCCCGAGGTTGCGCGAATCGCAACAGCCATGTCCTGCACCAAGGAGCTTTCTTTTGACGAAAAACTTCTTCTTGTCCAAGATCTACAGACGCAGTGTGCCCGTGATTTTGATGTGGTATACCTCCCAAATCAAAGTCCGGTTCATGGGCTTTGTCCTGCAAAAGGGTGCCATATCAACATTGCAAGGTGAGTGCCCTGGCTGAATAATGACATGGCCAATACTAACTCCGCTAGTCTGAGGAAGTGTGATAGAAGTGCCCATATTCACGGATGTGTTCGGCGTGAGAAAGCTTCTGACCTTCAAGTATTAGAATCAGAGATGCGGTTTTGCTATGAATGTATGGAATGGTTTTTGTCGAGTCAATGGCGGAAGCATTGCGATTCCCATCTCCAGTCATGGCAAATCCAGCACTGCGAAGTAATCATCCATCGCCATACCGTCATTCGCCCGGGCTATTGCCCCTTTTGCTTGTGGGACCCGAACCTGAATCTCTCCGCAGAAACCCGTTTGCGATCCTGGCTGCGAAGTGACAACCTGAGGGAACACATTGAAGGGCAGCACATGGCTGAGATTCAGCACTTCAAGAAAAAGCCGATATGCGGATGCTCTCAAATCTTTAAAAATGAGCGTGACCTTCGAAATCACCTACACGATGCGCATGGGCTAAAGGAAACCATATGGCAAGATCCAAAGCTACCCAACAAAAGGAAGCGCACTTGCAAGGTGGAATCACAATGCTCTTCAACAGAACCAGGAGAGGAGCATCCCAAGAAGATCAGATTTCATCATTACACACCTCCGTGCCATGAGCGTGAGCACGTGTCAGAAGAATCATTTGTCCCCGTCCCGGTCTTGCTTCCGTTTGTCGAAGACAATCTGGAACAATACTCGGGGCCAAGTATATGTGACAAATATAGCACGAGGAGCAGAAGCAACTCAGTGGAACTATGCTTCTTGGAGGCAAGTCCCACACCCAGCTCGGGGCCAACAACTCCAGGTCTTGAGGCCATTGATCCTCGAATCCTCGAACCTCCCGAATTCAACACCGACAATGCACGCCAATCTTGTGACCCAGTTGTCATCCAGCCAAATTCACTCATTTTCCCACCAGAAGAGGATGAGGCCACCGAAATGTCCGTCATAGGCATAAAACAGCCGCAACCTCCCGCTCTAAGCTTTGCCAGTCAGCCTTCTGGATACTGTGCTGTCACTGAAGCTAATGAGAGGAAAGGACTGCAATGTCTCACCTCTTTGTCGACCTGTGACCAAGCCGTTACTGCGGAATTTGAGTGGGAGAGTTATCCAAGTTATCCACTTACACGGGGAGAAGGTAGCGAGGGAAACCTGTCTGTTGATGATCAAGCCCCTCCGAGTGGCCCTCGCAGAACCCTCACTAGATTCAAGGCACAAACTCAGTCGCTCCAGCATCATTCTAATAGTTTGAACAGCTGCAAGCCCCGGCAGAGGCTTAATGCAAAGAACAAACGAAAGTTGCGTGACCTACAGAGACAGAAGCTGACCCTGAGACAGATCGGGCCTCATTTCGCGGATATTGATATGGCGTTACTGCGACAGGCTTGGATGGAATTGAAGCCTTCTCAGAGATGCACCAGATCTGGGGCCAATTGAAGGGCAACTGAATCATATTTTCAATCATAATATTTCACTTGTGCTTGGTTATTATCAGTCTGTACAAAATTTGCTATTCAGCCGCGTAGTCCAACCCACCCTCGCCGACCTAACTAGACTCCTTGTCACACCATCGGAAAGTTCCTAGCTGTGCGAGAATAACAGATCAGTTAGAATTGAATGGCTGAAGTTCCTGCAAAATCGCGGCCTCGTTATTTAGAGAGTAAACGCATGTACGTTAAACTCGAGGGGCAAATACCCTACACTTTCAGCGCACAAGTTTGAAGCATGATGAGCTTCCTTTTTACGTGAGCCCGCGGATAACCCTTTAGATGATAGTCGAGTTCTTATTTCTAGTCGTATTTGATTGGACCTATCCGGAAAATAAATGCAGTGGGCAACAGGTAACAGACCGTGAAGACTAGCAATGCAAGCAACTTGTTGGCTGTTCTGGCGAAAACCCAATACAGCCAGCTTGTTACATGGAAACAGATAGTTACATTACAGTTACATATTCTGCACCGCCACAGACGAATAATAAAACTTAGTAAGTAATTATTTAGTGTAATGTAACGTACCATGTATGTTTTAAATTGTATTATATTACAGCTCCTGAGTGATATTTAATTCTTAGTTATGGTTGGCCTGTGGACAAAATTGATATAAAAAAGCGTGGGACCGACCTACGAGTTCAACATGATTACGTAGAAACTTGCTCGTCCCAGGATGGCGATATGCGCTCCCAGGTGAGCAACATGCGCTCCTAGGAACCTATTGGTATCCAGGAACCTCTCTGGGTACTCCTGGAGACCAGCTTGCTGCCCCAGGAGCGGCCTCATCGTTCCCAGAAGCCCCTGCATGCCCACTTATAGGTGGGGCTATACTCTAGAACCCGGACCAGATAATACATTGACTGTTCATCACGCTATGAAAAATATGACTTGCTTGACTTTAATGTCCATCAGACTTTCCTAGGGGTCTGTGAGTTACCACCTCAACATGCAGCTGCTCATAATTGAAGCCTTGCTTTTGGGTCCCTACATCGACCTGAACCATCGAGATGAAAATGGACGCACCGCAATTTAGTCCGACAACAGCCGGGGCTTCATGTAAGCCCCCAATGTGCCGATGTAGTACCGCCGCTTTGGTCAGCATGTCGTGCAGGACAATCTTCCATGGTGGAACTCCTCTTGCAAAAATCAACCGAAATCAACCGAAAAAGCCGTACAGGGACGTCGCCGCTTCAGGTCGCAATCGTCATGGAGCATGTGGACATTGGCCGACTCCTTCTCAGCTACGAAGAGACTATATTGGTCAATGACCAAGGTCCTCAATCCTTTACAGCGCTCATGTTCGCGTCAACTAACGGTAGACTTGGAATCGCTAACCTGTTATTGGAGGATTCAAATGGATGATCTGGGGAGGACATCTTTCTGGTGGGCCGCAGCTGGTGGTCAACTGGAAATTGTGCGGCTGTTGGCCATGCAACGTGATATGAAAAAGCGACTAAAAGATTTGGAAGGCACGACAGCGTACATTATTTCCAAGGATCACGGTCATGTAGGTGTCACGCTTTTCCTGCGGAGCCCTTAGGTTTCAAGCTAGACTTTAGGGAGGGCTTCAAAATGCATGCGATACCAAAAAGCCCATTAGACAGAAGCAGAGCTTGGTCCTCCAGTCCTAATATGCCACCGTTCGATCAATCCAAATAAAACCGTTTGTGTGCACCGGACATTATATGAGTCATTTATAAATACTTTGAGAAGATGGCATGTCTAGCTTTTTGGGTCAGGCTTCCCCTGAGCCCCCACGTCCTGATACGTCGACCCGGCAACATCAAGCTCGCACTATTGTCTAAATTGGAAGCAAGGGTTAATCTTCATCCAACATTACATATAGCTTAGTCCGATAAGAAGAAACTGAGTGATAGAAATTAAAGTGAGGCAACCAAATGCACATATCAACTACAACGGTTGAAAGGGTGGACTTTGGCCTGAGAAACTTCCAGGACGGTGAACCAGAGTCTACGTGTTGGAGTGGGTGGGAAGTGAATTTCGTTGAAAGGACAGAATGGCGCACGAAATTGTTGAAGCTAAACATGATACTCAATGTAAAAATCGAGGTCACAAATTGGCAAATAAAAACTTTTACGTTGACATCTCACAAAATGTTCAACAATGGGTCGGTCGGTTTCCGTGGGAACAGCGGTTAAGGGCAAGTAGAAAAGATCAACTTCGACGAGCGGGAACTAAGTGATGTCTAGAAAACATTGATTCTGAGAAAAAGGGTAGATCCAAATGAACAGGGCAAGCGATTTTTCTGAGGGAGGTGAAGACAATCGGGTCGTCTACACCGGCACAATGTGTTCACAGCAACCTATGTCTGCAGCGTGGGGCTTCGCTACGCGAGCCGACCGTTTATTGCAAGTTGTATAAAATTTCAAAGCACTAGCCCTCAATAATTTGACTTCGTTGAAGGGATCCTTGCCTTGGTCAGGTGGTCTTGATTTTCGGTTAAAGCTGAAAACGAGCGGGAACTAAGTGATGGTCTAGAAACTGTTTATTTTGAGGAAAAGGGTAGGTCCAAAGCATAGGCCATATTCTTTTCTGAGGGCAGGTTAAGACAACCGGGCTAGTCGTCTCCACCGGCACAATGTGTTCAGCAGCCTATGCCAGCAGCGTGGGGCTTCGCTACGCGAGCCGACCGTTTATTGCATGTTGTATATTCTTCTAAATTTCAAAGCACTAGCCCTCAATGATTTGACTTCGTTGAAGAATAAAACGTTGAAGCGATCCTTGCCTTTGTCGGGTGGTCTTGGTTTTCGGTCAAAGCTGAAAACGAAGGGTCACCAGCCTCCTGCAGTTTTATGACCGTGTTCAACGAACGGTCGTTAGTTTGTCCGAAGACTAGTCAAATCTAGTCGCAAAAAATTTCACACGATAGCACAGAGCCAACACATGTAATTTTTGACGTGTTCTTGAAGCAATTGGAAATACAGGGGTCAGGGATTAGCGGTGGAAATGCCGGTGGTGACTCGGAAATTGATGGCACAAAGGTGAGGATTTACCTCTGGCGATAGCAGCCAACAGGACAGAACAAACCCCAAGACTGCAATTAGAAGAAGAACAGCTGCCACTTCAAATGTGCAATATAAAGCGCAACGCAGTTGTTATCGAGTCCGAGGATAGGCCGTTGTAGAGAAGCTAAGCCTAGGTAATCTAAAAAGAGGAGGAAGAGTACGACGACTCGCAGTGGGTGATCAATATAAGTACCAACTACTGTGACCATAATCTTGATCAAGCACGAGAAAAGCGCAAATAGTGGAAAGCAGACCATCAGCTGATATGGTTAAGGAGGCTTCGAGGCTCTGGTGTATGAGTTTTTCTGAACTGCTCGACAAGATAACACGAGAAGGACGAAGGTAGCGAGTAGTAACGCCGTGGTCAGTAGTGCATGCACTGTAGTCGGAATCTGCATGACTGGCTTGTGGTTAACGTGCAAGAACAAAGGGGACTTCAACTGACCCCTATGCCCGGATTGCCAGCTACGGTGCTTACTAGATTAGCTCTGTATTGTAGGTTCCAACGTCATGAAGCCACCTATCTCGCGTTGTCTAAAGAGAATGGCGTAGAGTTCAACAAGTCTGTTATGTGCTCTCTATTCGTCGCTAGTCATTCACAGACGGCATTGTCCCTCCTAGGAACCACCGAGTCCCGGGAGCCTGATACAAGCTCCTAGGGCCCAATTCTAAGTTCCCGGGAGCTCAGGGGCTCCTGGGACTACCCGTGCCGTTCCTGGGAGCATTTATTCGGTCCCTAGGAGCTTGTATTAGGCCCCCAGGAGACCCGGTGGTTCCTGGGAGGGACAATGTTGTCTGGGAATGACTAGCGACAAATAAAGAGCATAAAACAGACTTATTGAACTCTAAGCCATTTTCTTGTCATGACGTTGGAACCTACAACACAGAGCTAATCTAGCAAGCACCGTAGCTGGCAATCCGGGCATAGGGTTAGTTGAAGTCCCCTTTGTTCTTGCACGAATTCTAGGGACACAGGGGTCAAGGGATTTATTGGTGGGCAATCACAAACTTTCTATCGTCGCATACTGAAATTCCAACATTGTGTTGATACAAAACTCTGAAACGACTTTGATTTAGGTAATACATCGCCTCCATCTGTTTACAGTCTGTTTCTTGCGGGCTCAGGCAAAGTAATGCACTGCCTGCCTTTCACACAATCCCGTTTCAGAACGGTCGCCGCAACAAAATGATCCTTCGCATGTCCTAATCCACAGAATTGAGCATTCTAGCTCCAATGGATGTAGTACCCTGTTTACCTGGCCATCATTTATGGCGTCATTGATCTTCTCCGGAAACCTCTTCTTTCTTCCTGTTCAGAGCCTCGCTGGTGAGGACCTCGAAAGCTGGTAAACCCGAATACCTAGAATGCGATCGGTAAGGCAAACTTTGTGACTTCAACAGTAAATCTTTAACTTTGCCTTCCTTCATGTTGTTTGGAGTTCTGCTGTCTCTCCTTTGCCAGTTGGTATTCGAGTTCCCGATTCTTGAGCTCTAGGTCGCAAGCGTTTTGTTGAGCTATCTTGATATGTTCAATAAAACACTGGTTCTGCTTCTCCAAGCTGACTTTGTCCATTGCGTGGGCCCGTAACATGTTGTCGCAGTTTTGTAGCATAACAGTTGCCTCGTAGTGTTTTTGTTGCAATTTTGACATCTCAGTATATATGCTCGTAATGATTCCCTCAAGCTTTTGATTTGGATGTTGCGTGCCTGAGTCGATGTTAATTCGGAACTGCCGTGTTACTTTAATTGCAGACTGACCTTGACAAACGATTGGTAAGGGGGATGGGTTCGGACGGTGCGACGCCAAACGTCTTCTCCGTGGAGGCATCTTTATCGTCTTTGGCTTTTCGGACGATTTGTCACTTCTTGTAGGAGAGATAGGATAATTGTCAGATACAGATTTTCAAGGCCAATGGCCTCTATTTAAACATTCTCCGAAGACATGGCTTATGCATTGCTGACGTTCTTGCGATGTAAACGTCTGCGTCATCGGTATAAGATCGTCCGTCTACTTTGGATGTCAAGCCACAAGCTTCTAGGATCATGTTGCTTGCTCCTGGGATATGACAGTCTCACGTATACGTAGATGAGAACAGCGTCTTCTAGATGCATAATCAATATCAAGGAAATCCATAGTCGACTCTAGATACAAGACGTAGCGCGAGGCAGCAAAAGAGAGAGGCTTCCTCGCGTTCAGGGGATCCATATACACCATGTGGGTCCCGCAGCTCACATCTCAATTTAGCTTGTATTCTTCATGTATATCCCCGAAAATACGATGCATAACTCCCAGGAATGGGTGAGTGTTTCCTGGGAACACTATAACGTATTCCAGGATCCTTAGGGCCCCTAGGAACCAGTCACAGGATCCCAGGAGTAAGTATCACGATTATAGAAGCCGATGACTCGACATCCACTTCTAAATAAATCCGTATCAATGATATGCCCTCAAAAAATATTCAAATAGAACCCACTGCCTCAAAGAATTGCGTCTCCCACGCTGCTCAGCCAACTACTGGCGGTGACAGACTTCTCTCTGAGATATTACTCTTAGCCATCCTTTTATTATCATCTGTATAGGTAGTCGTTACCTATACGTTCACGAAATCTGCCAATATGCCGCTTTTGGGACTTCCACTAGAATTGCTTTTGTGGATTGGCAAGTCCATCGACAAGAAGGACCTTCGAAGTCTGCGTCTCACATCTCGAGAATCCAACGTCGTCTTCACAAAGAGCCTCTTTGATTGCATAGACTTCCAAGACACCCCGCCAATTCATTGGGCAATCGAGCATAGAAACTTAGGCATCATCCAGCACTCTCTGGGTTGGGAAAAGGCAGATATTAACCAACCGTTTTCTGGCCTTACACCGCTCATGTTGGCTACAAAATTGCGATACGCAGACGCTGTTGATTTGCTCTTAAGCCATCATTCAGTGAAAGTCATACAGCGTAATACTTTGGGAGAAAGTGCCTTCTCGATCGCTGTTCTGCATGGAAGCGTGAAAATTGTCGAACGACTCCTCAATGTACAGAATATTCATCTCAATAACCAATCCCTGGACGGAAATGCGCCCATTTCAATTGCGCTGACCTGTCGCCAAACCTACATCTTCCAACTTCTCTTGTCTGATGAGCGGACAAATTTCAACATCTGCGACCATCATGGCCAAACACCACTGCACCTAGCGACAGAAATTGGCGACTATGGAGCAATCCAAATGCTTGTACGAAATCCGCGAGTTGATGCCAACTGTCTCAACCACCGACAGGAAACTCCGTTGCTTCTGACTGTCAAAGGACACGGTCGTTTTCTCCCCATCAACAAAAGAATACTTATCATTGAAGCCTTGCTTTTGAGTCCGTGCATCAACCTTAATTATCAAGATGAGAATGGACGCACCGCAATCTGGTATGCAGTGAACAATTCTGACATAAAACTGGCTGAGCTCCTCTTGCAGCAAACAGATCTGGACCTCAATTGCGCCGACAAGCTGGGCCAGACACCTTTGGCAAAGGCTGCTGCAAATGGCTCCTTAGACTTGATCAAAGTCCTCTTCCGACAGCCGGGGCTTCATAACAGCCCTCAATCTGCCGATGCATTTCCGCCACTCTGGTCAGCATGTCGCGCAGGACAATTTTCAATGGTGGGATTTCTTTTGCAAAATTCAGCCGACATTAACCAAAAAAGTCCATCGGGGACGTCGCCACTTCAGGTCGCAATAATCATGGAGCACGTCGACATTGTCCATCTCCTTCTCAGCTACGAAGAATCTTTGTTGATCAATGATCAAGGCCGTTGCTCCTTTACTGCGCTCATGTTTGCGTCAGCTCGAGGTAGTTTTGAAATTGCCAAAATGTTATTGGAGCATCCCAAAATAAATGTGAATGTGGTGGACGACCAGGGGAGAACATCTTTCTGGTGGAGTGCGGCTGGTGGGCATTATGAGGTTGTACAGTTGTTGGCCAATCAGCGTGGTGTGAAAAAGCGACTGAAAGATTCAAATGGCCAGACGGCGTATGCCATCGCCAAGGAACGCAACCATGAACATGTCAAGGTTTATTTGCGAAGCTTCTAGGTTTCAGCTAGTTTATAGAAAGAGATTTCAATTGATGTGTTCACGGCGATCGGGTTCTCTGAGTGCAATACGGTGCTGTAACAGCAGACTTTCCACCGCGGCCAGTTGTCTACTGCTCATCATTCTCTAGTGATAGCTACCAAGGACAGACCTAGCGAGCTCATCTCTAGGCCAGGAAATTAGCAGTGCAACGGCTTGTGCTAATCCTACTGTACATGAGCTTTGGGCTTCCGTGGTATTGAAACAGATGCACTAGCTGAATGTGATACCTTTTGGGCGCCATTGCCCCATTGAGGAGTCAAGGGCTGTCGTCAAACCATGTAGCCTCGGTCTGTAGGTCTCACAGAAGGCAGCAGTCATTTTCCTAGAGAGTCCATCATTTATTGTGTACGCGCTCGCCTTGTTGGCTGTGTGCACGAATTTTCGAGCCCGCGCAAAGCCTGGCATATGCATTTCTCTCCAATTGCTGGATTTACAGTGGTCATATTGCAAAATTGATGTTGTTAAGAATATTTTCCAGGAATAGTTATGTAAGTTTTGAGTGCAAAATACCTGATGAGCGTAGTTGAGGGTGAAATAAGGGGTCAAATTAAAATTCAGCGTCACAAGTTGGCAAATTTATTCTGGAAGAGGGATAAGCGGAAACTCCATTAAGTATGTACCGCTCGCAGAACGTCGTAATCGGAGCGTGGTCCGACTTGGAGCGCGAGACGCCGAAGGAGAACAGTTGTATCCCGGAGACTGAGGTTCAAATTTGAGGAGCCCAGCTCAGTGAGAATACAAAGCCACCGCCGCCATGTCCCTCCCACAAGATCCTGATGCGCAATAAATTCCTGAGTGCTGATGCCGGAGGGACATTGGGGAGTGCTGGCTATTGAGAAGCCGCTCATTTTCGATGGCGTTAGGGACCGATTCAACGTGTTTAAACTCTCGTCATAGTAGAGTCAGGAAACAGATGCCCTTCAAGTAATGTTATTGTGCAAATCGGGTGGATTAGTTAATCCTGGACGTGTGTTGATCATTGCACACGACGAGCTCGACAAACGTTGAGTAAATAGGAAGTCAAGAGCTGTTGACGGCAATGTTAGTGTCTACGGTCCCTGTCCTTTATGCGCATGTCAAACGTGAAATAAGTTACTGGGTGAATGTTTTACTTGTTCGAGGAAATCGTATTGTTTAACTAATTAATTAAATCGACCACTACTTAGCAGAAAAGGAAGGATTCTCGGTCCGCGATTTTAAACAGCGTATCTCAATAGATTAGATGTTACTGAGGCCCTTAGGGTAAAGCACGATGACTTGTGGTCCCAAAGAGGATTCTCCATACTCAAGAGTTCGCAGTAGATTCCTAAGTCATTCACGACTACTTGTTGGCCTGAGGATAGGGGAAACTAGATAACTAACGTATTTCACATGCGAGTAGTGGTCCACGCCAAAACACATAGTAAAAGCGATATAGTTGTCACTTGTATCTTAACAACTAACGTTTTTATTTAATTTCATGACTGGCCGATAGCAATCGATAAATATTTTTAGTGTTATATGTCAACTTCAAATAAATCAAACACCTATATTGTTGTCGTATTGAAAATTACATTGCTGAACTCCAGATATATAGATATCTCAATCACTTATTTCTTGAGTCCCCTAAAACCCTATAAAGTGGCTATATATCATTTAAGATGTACTAGGGTATAAGAAACAGTTTATATAGACAATCGTTGTTGCACTAACATGCTGTAATTTATCGCTTTTACTATGTGTTTTGGCGTGGACCACTCGCTTGTGTGGACCACTCGCATGTGAAATACGTTATTTCGCCTCCTACTAAGAGGCAAATTAATAGTGGGTCTACATTTATTAGTTTTACTATTCTACGGCTATACCATGTTGTAAGGACCTTTTTCCGTTACAATAGTTAATGGTAAATGAGCTGGTCCCTGAGGCAGGTGCTTGGCATCCTACCGCCAAGCCGGAAGCGGCGCCTGGTCACCGAAAGCAGGGCTTGGTGGCCACTGAGAAGAGGTTCATATTGGCAAGCAAGCGAGGCCTTGCTTATTACGTAATAGCTGCATATATATCCTGTATCTAGTACTATCCAATAAGAACCATGCGATCCTTACAGAATCTCATAACTGCCTTTTCTATAACACGTGACCTTTGGCACTTCTAGCGCGTCGCGGCGCGCCCCCTGGGCCCTTGAAATTTCTGGAACCCGGAAAAAACTCTTCTCCTTGGAATCTCAACCATTGAGAAAACAATGCCCCAGGCCTGGTGCGCTGCCGAAACTCAGTACGCCATGCAACTCAGATCACGTTCTTGGATGTTAGTCCTCATCTTTACTCTCAATATCCTAGCCTGTGAAGCTGGATGGATAAGCAAGTTTCAATGCGGTTCGTCTGAGTTACGTGACCCACGGGATACCCCATTCCGAATCGATAGCCTCCGTGGTAAATTTGAGAGCCCGACAATATTTTCATTATCAATACTGGCGATCCACAACACGACATATTTCACATGTAGCAACATCGACCTACCGTTGCGTGAGACTTCCTTTCGCTTCCATGTGCTCGGTATCCCAGTTGGGCATATGGAAAGCTTTCACAGCCAGTGCCCTCTACCGATAACTGAGACCCTGACACCGTAAGTGTTGTCGATTTATCTGACAAAACAATTTACCTCTTATGTCTACTCAGCTGAAGTGACCCTTTAGTCCGGAAGGCACACTTTTCTCAAATTACGAGATCTTGTACTCTTTTGGAAATGCCCATCAGCTCCAAACTGCCGTTGCAGAGATCAATTTCAGGACACAAGATGGTGCCCAGCTCGATTGTGTAGTAGCTAAGATCACCCCGAAGATCGGCACAGCAGCCTCTGTGATACTCACGTATCTCCCTGCTGTTGTGATGGCCCTGGTTGGTGTTGCTTCATGGAAGACACATGCAAATGACGCGCTGAGATGGATTTCCTTAATTGAAAGCAGGGCCACCTGGTCTATTCTGGGTCCAATGTGGGAAATCATTTCCGATATAGCTGGCTATTTACAGTATCTGCAGTTCATCTTTCTGGCTGGCTCGCTTACTTTGAAGTACCCTGGATTCTATCAACCGATAGTCAGCCAAGTGGCTTGGTCTTCGCTTCTATATTGGACGGGCCCCATCAATCATGGTTTTACTTATCCTGGAGTGGAAGATGGCATGTATGTCACCAATGGGTCTTACGGGCTTGAGTTCATGTCTCAAACGCTTGGCTTTCCTCAGATGCCAGATATCACGATTGATTCATTTGTCAACCTCTCAATTCTCCTCTTCGCTGTCGTTATCATTTCTTTGATCCTGTGTCTGATAATATCACGACTCAATGGGGGTTCCACCTGAGTTCAGTCACATGGAACGCAGGTTGCATCATTATCGGCATGGCCCTATCATTCTCTAGTCTTCCTCTACTATCCTACTTGTCCTACGAGTTAATTCTCATTGGATATCTGCCTAAATACCGCATCATTCTAGTCGGATTGTCGATAGCAATTCTTGTTTGTTCGAATTTTCTCGTCACTCGCCATGTTCAGCGTCAAAAGGAGCTTAATGATAGCTCGTCTCCGGACTTTTCTCAGGGTGCCAGATCAGCCGGATCTTCAATGAAGCCTGGACAGTATCTGTCGCAATATCTGCCAGCTGCAATACCACTATTACAAGGAATTGTGATTGGTGGCTTGCAAGACTGGGGCTTGGTGCAAGTCCTCCTGCTGATGGGGACTGAAATCATTCTTCTCCTACATATGGGCATATTACTCCGTGGCAGGCTCTTTTTGTCTATATCTGCTTGGTGCGCTATTGTCCGCCTTCTGACCATTTGCCTGAGTATCACTTTCGCATGTTCATCGAATGAAACGACTAAACAATGGGTCGGCTACATAATGCTATGTTTACATGGCTTGATGATAATCTCCGGTTTTCTTATCTTTGCACTTTGGCAGCTGACTCAAGCTCTGCGAGGGAACGTTGGGATTGTTCTAAGGCCTCTATCCAACCCAAGAAACAAGTCAAACACCACGAGGGTAAGTCATTCTATCACATACAGCCGTCAGTCAGGTGGGGAACCTAACTTGCTGTGACAGTCTTCATCTTCTGGCCTAGAGAACCGAACTATGGGAATTATCTTGGGTAGGATGAAACAAATTCGACAAAAAGGGGACTTCACTAGACTATCCGATTCCGGTAGTTCAGAATCCTCAAGGAGGTCTAGTTTGCCGTTCAATGCCTTTGAAAATTCAACGAGCTCTTTCCCTTCAACACCAACCTACGAAAGATATCACATTACGGATTACTCTGCCTTCTATAGGCAACCACGATATCACTACAAAGATCCACCGAATCGAGCATCTGCCCTCGATAACTCACATGAAAAAACCGCTGAAAATCCATGCAGTGATTCTCATCCGTCAGATTCATTCCAGGATTCATTTGACGAGTTTATGGATGTGCCTATCAGACCCAACGTGGACTACTCCACGAGAGAGTCCGATTTATTCTATGGGAAACTAGGCAACGGCTTTGCCTCGCCAGTACCAATCTCGCAAGCGCTGCCGCAAGAAAGCCAAGAAAGTCGAAACACCCTGCGCGAGTGGGCAGTTAGGGCTGCAGGGACATTAAACCCATCTAAGAAGAAGAAGAAAGAAAAGGGGTTTCAAGTCATGAGACCTCCGCGATAGAATTGAAAGACAAAAGTTTGACCGTGGTGCCATCGGATCCGATCCTAGCTGTGATGGTGCTGAAGGGGACTGGCGGAATGGGTTTCAAATATCGACAGCATGGGTTACTACAGTATAACCAAACCATGACCGATGCTTTTGTTGTAGTTCTTGGTGCTATTCAGGGCATCCAATTAACAGGATTGAACGGAGCGAACTGCTTTCTACCAAATATTTCTATATTCGTGCACTTTATTGTGAGTGGCCTCGCTAGCATGTTAACGAATTTAACTTCATGTTATTTCAAGTATCGTTCGTTGTAAACCACCCCTGTCTCCATTTCCGAGTGTTTCTTTGCATTGCACAGCTCCTATTATTGTAGTTCTCACTTCATTCTCCAGAAGTTTCAATATGGCAGGCTCACTTGATATACTCTCTGAAGCTAGTCGCCTTCGCCTGGGAGTCCCATGCTCACTTGCTGACCAACATCCGTGCCACGGCGGCTCACACCGCGTATTCGAAATTGTCTTTGAAGACTCCGTACGATGATGGGCTGCCCGAGTCAATAATGATTCCAATAATTGGAAAAACAAAATGCGAGCCGTTAGACAATTTTAGCATGTTAAACAGCAACGGGCAGAGATAAAAGCGCCAAACCTTTTTGTGGGAGCAGAACACCCTATGCTGTATTCAGAATGGGTCAGTGGCAAACCGCTAGCTATCTGGAATTTTCAAATCACTCTGTTACTTTTGGCAGAAATGTTGTGTGGGAGAGCCGCCAATGAAGCCCTACGGCCGACCGAGCGACGAACAGCTTTTGATTGTTTTTGATTGCCTGAACGATCAGAAGCTCTGGCGGCAGTGCGACGGCACTTTCGCAGAATATGATACTTCTTCCCCCGTAGAGACTCAGCGCTTCGGGCCACCCGGTGTTGTTCATAATATGCGTCGGAGCGGGCTTTCCACGACAGCTCTCGATGGGTATCCAGCCAAGAGAGAAGATTTCTCTCCTCCCATTCCGACCAGTTCATTGCGCTACGCGGGGACATGGTGATGCTCGGGAAGGTGGCAGAAGTGGTAAGAACGGATGAAGAAAATAGTACAAAGTGAACTAGAAGACGTTGGTTTGTTGAGTTTAAAGATCTTTTCAGTACTCAGTCAACTACGAGAGACCCTACCGTTGCATTAAAAAAGACCATTGTTTGATTATGAGCCATGGCTCAGTCTGGTGAGCTCGTCTCAGACCCTCACCATTCGTCAGTCCAAACGTGCCCTCATATCATGATTGCACCCTTGGAAAGAAGGTGGCTGTTGAGCAGCGACGTGGAAGCGAAAAATGCTGGGAGCATCCCTTTCTTGACCACCCAACATGGTTTCATCGCTTCGTTGGATCATGTTTTTCTAGGCGAACTTTTCTTTTTTAGTGCAAAATTCGTTGTCCTTCCCATCGACCAGATGAATCATCTGTCAACGTTGGTTTGACAGACATTATGGAACTCATGGGCAAAATGTGAGGGCCTCAACGGTGAAAGGTCAAGCAGCATTTAGTGAGTGATGGTCCAAGATTTATTCTAAATAAGCCCCAGTTGTGGAAAGTATGGGTGGGAGACAATTGACCTTGCGCCTCCCATTGCAAGCAAGCAAGAAGTCAATTCCGATTTCACGATACAAATATCTATTAAAGCCAGTGCGCCCTCTCCTTATACTGTACACCCAACCAGAATCGGGAACACTCGCCATCTCCTCGTGGCTAAAACACAAGAGTGAGGAGGCTCCACGAGAGCGGAGAATGAAGCGTACACGTGGAAGAGACTTGGAAATACCCAAACACACTCAGCTCCATGAAGAAGGCAATGCGGTAGCTCTCGAATGTGTGGCGGAGTAAGTATCGACCTCTTCACAGAACACGATTTCGGGATTGCCTGCTGACAACGTCCAGACTAAATAACCGAATGAAGTCAGTTGTGGATCGACCGTCGAGTGAAAACATGAAGCGCTAATCTTCTATGCAGGTCCATTGAGAGCTCATCGTATGTCCAAAGCACCTGCAATGAAACCGTTCGCAACGACTTGGCGGATATCTTTGCTCGATTGGCGATCGTGGAGACTGAGATGAAGAAAGTGGCAAAACGGGTCAACAACAAAGTCACCGAGGGCCAGAGCATCCGGCGATCTCTGCGTCGGGGCAACAGTGATTCAAGTTTGATTTCGGCCATTTGGACCGAAGCAAGATATCAGCTCCTGTTAGTCCTGAGGTATCTGTACGTGATTCGACTGCCAAAGACTAAATGGAATAGAAGGTGAGCAATCCAATAGCCGCTCATTGGTTGGCCGCTGAATATTTCTCAATGGGCTCGTTTCCCAACTGACAACGTGTCCACTCCTGTACCATCTTGTCATTGTGCATTGAGATCTCTTGTTTCGCCAATTCTCCACCAAGCTACGCAACATCTTAGGAATATGAACGGAAATGTAACTCAACGTACCGAAAGGCTTTCTCGAGGCCAACCGGCTGTAGTTATAAGATAATTTAGGCGAGCCTTTCAAGCTTTTTTCAGTTCAAGGCTTGTTGACCATTTGTACGCTTGGCCCATCAGTTCCATACTCAGGTTTGGATCATCGAAAGACTTGCCCTGAGCAACGAAAGTTCAGAGTAGTATTACAAGATCACATGTTTTTGCAAATGACTTGACATCTGTCGAGACCATTGCAAAGACAAGGCCCTTGACGTTTGATAAAAGCGGTACAGTGTCTGAAAATCAATACTATGGGAAAAACTGCCCCCCACGTGTTTGGGCTGGATGTGAATTTGATTCATAGCAGGTTTGTGCCAAATATCAGGAATGAACCACGAGAGTGCGCACAAGATGTGCTGAGTTTCCGTAGAAGTTCGCAGAGCCAAAGATTCAATTCTCAATGATGGGAGAAACTTAGAACTTAAGCACTCACAGCCCTCCTTTCCAGACTTTGCCAACAGTAAAAGGCTTACCTCCGGTAACCAACTCAAACCGGGTTGTATTATTCTCAATAGGTTACTTCTACCCTCGTCATGGTAGGGTGCGAGTGCTGCCAGATATTTGTCATAAGCTACTTGTGTACTGGCTATATGCGAAATAGCCAGCTCTACTACATGAATAACTAGGTCCAAAAGAAACATATTCATCCCTCTAGAGATCCATGTTGGTTGGTTGCAGAGGGCTCCTGCTGATCAAGAAGCGGGACGTTCGGTTCGGACAAGCTGAGGGGGAAATCGTGGCCCCGAGTAGCCACGCCTCCCTATTCGGGCCAGTCTGCGTGAATGACCCCAGAGCCCGGCAAATAAGATGCCAGTCGTTTATTCTGGAGGGCATCGACCGTGTTCCAAAATCAAGTAGTCGTTGACACCAGGTCTCCGTGTGCCTGATCTAACACCAGCTGAATATCATTCCACGGGACCTGATCCTGCAGAGCGGCATTTTTGGACTCCAGCTGCTGCTGAAACTCGCAGACCTCTCGCGCAACCCGCTGACTCTCGGCTAATGCTGCATCTCGTGCACTGAAAGCCAGCTGCAATTTCGAATTTTCTTCAACTTTCTCGGCTTCAAGTTGTTCCAGCAACTGACAATGCTTGCGTCTCTCCTCGTCCCTTTCCTCTTGTGCTTTTTGAATCTCCTCCTCAATGTTGCTCATCATCTGAAGACACTTTCTATGGATCGCTTTATCATGTTTCGGCCTAGGCTTTCTCGTGGTGGAGGATGCCTAGCATAGTCAGTAGAGTACATCAAGTTACGCCGCCAGCACAGTGCTGGTCACGAAAGGTTCAGAGCATATGGGAAGAAAGTAGAGATTGGTACCATATGCTTGTGCGACCTAGTCACCGGTTTCAGAGGGTTCCGGTCATCTTTGGATCTGGAGGCAGTAGACTGAACGGAACAACACGACGGTGCAGCACGCAGCTGTACTTCGTCAGACCTGTGGCCTGCCTGCTCCCGAGAAGGCTTGTGATTATTTGCCATGCTCGGTCTGTTCGATCGTAGAATGAACAATTATGCAATGGGATGTAGAAGGGTTGAAATAATTATCGGCAGTGACTATTGAGAAGATGATATTATATAGAAATAGGTGGAGGCCCAGGCGCAAGAATTGAAAATTGAATGAAAGCGGTCTCACTCCTGTCCAACAGCTGTGCAAAATCAGGATCATAAATCAAATACTGAGTACTGGGCGTAAGCCCGACGCACAAATTACCTGCCGCTTTATCTAGGAGTATGCGATCAACAAGTCTGCATAAAGATGTACGTTGTTGCAGACAACGCTAACTCATGATAAAAAGTTTAATCGGCCCGAGATACCACCCAGAAGCTCCAGGGCTCAGTTTTACTTATCAAAAAACATTATTTTGTGAGTGTCGCCAGCTTTCACGACGCTCTGTAGATTGAACCTAAGAAACTGCGTCGTTCTCACAATTCTAAGATTCACGTCCGCATATATATATGGATTTCGAACAAACCGTTACTTGTGGTTACATATGATCCTCGATTGACAAGTATCATTGACCATTTTTCCCTCGATACTAGGGCAACTATGAAGGCATTTCTTGCTAGTTGGGGTATTCATCAAGTGTCCCACCATGACAGACACTACTGAGGCGCAACAATCCCTAATGCTACCACCCAACAATAGATTTAGCAGAAACCAGAAATTGCCTTGCTACTGCGATGGGAACTCGACAATGTGCTACGAGACAGGATGATCGTTAGACCACATTCCATGTTTGATGGACGGCCAGGCGTGTGTCTACGAGCTGATGCAGCTAATAGATTGTGAGTCTGTCTGGACCGAGTTAGCAGAGTATCGAACGATGATCGGTAATCTTTCACTTAGCTTTTCTAGGAGAAAGCGCCGTGTCGCAACTAGAAATTGACAGGTCCAAGTATGTCGTTGATTTGACGAAGTGGACTATCATTTCTGCCCTCAATGGACCTAATATCTCATACTCATTGACTGAAAATTCCAGATACAACATAAGTGAGTTCCACGGAAACCAACCATACATGTTACAATCATCATTGCGGGACTGTCCAATTCTCGGAGAGCATTCTATACGAAGGAGAATTCTCTAAAGATATTACATTCATTCGTGGACGCGATAATTGTTACTCGACGCAAGGGATCAGAAATGTCGGGACGGGCCGAGACGCGAACCCCTGATCCGCCCGACCGCGACGAACACGAAAAGTCACCGCCACGATTATTGAGACCGAGACGCATCACCAGACCGCGTAACAACTATGGCCAAGAGCAAGAAATCGAAACCCAGCAGGGAAATACGCGCTCTCAGCAGAAGGAGAGAACCCGGGGCAAGCCAACAGCCCAACGTGAAGCGGTGACTTCGGACGACGCGTCGACTGAGAGCGACAACACGAACGCCGCCAATCTTGTGAAAGAGCTCGTGAAACTTAGGAGAGACATCAAACGGCGAGATGATTCGCATAGAGAGGAGATGCAGAAAATGCAAGAAGAACTGCAGAAAGTCAAGGAAGAATTTAGCGCCGCCCTTGCAGAGGTTCAACAGGAGCTGCAGACCTTGGCAGAGAGACCCCTTCCCGAACCATGCGCGCAGAACGGCCACGATGAGATCCTTCGCGAAATCCAATCCTTACGCGAAGAAATCAGCACCCCCGCCTCCGCAAGCTCCCCGTCCTATGCAGATGTCGCCCGTACCCCCCACTCAGTCACCCGAGCAACATACGGACTCTTTCAACGTCAAACACAACACCAACCACTTTCACCGACACATTGTACTGCACGATAGACACCTCGAAGATGACCGAAAGCGAAAGTGAGAAGGCATCCGCGGGTTCAATCAGGGCCACAGTCGAGACAGAGATCCGACAGTTGGATGATCACACTCACTGGCGCTGCCGCGCGGTCACTGTAAGTCCAAGAGATACCAACCGGATCAGAATCGCGTGTCGCGATGAAGCCGAACACCAGCTAGTGAAGAAAGTGGCGGAAACAAAGATCGGTGCGGGAGTCCGGGTGCTCCGGGACGAGCTCCACCCGATTAAGGTTGACAGCGTCAAGAGGACCGCAGTACTGGATGGAAACCATGAAATCCTGATAGGAGCGGCGGCAGCCCTGGGTGAGGAGAACGAAACCACTGTCGCCAAAATGACGTGGCTGAGCAGCAGGGAAACCGCAAAGCCCTATGGATCGATGGTCGTGTACCTAACCAAAGGGACTGATGCACGGAGACTTCTGGCCGATGGATACTTCCATGTCGGAGGAGAATCCGGAACAACCAGCGTTTTTGAGTATCGACCACGACCGGTGCAATGCTACAACTGCCAGGAGATTGGTCACAAGGCATTCCAATGCAAGAAGATCCAGAAGTGCGCAAAATGCACGACGGAGGGCCATCACCACAGTCGCTGTGATCACACGGTTCCAAAGTGCGTTCCATGCGGTGGACCACACGAATCGTATAGCAAGAACTGCCGGAAACTCTACGCGTCACATCATGAATAAAACACTCCGAATGATCCAATTGAATGTGAGAAAGCAGGGCGCTGTGCATGAGAGCTTAATGAATGACAAAGACACTCAGAATGCCGTGGCATTAGCGATTCAGGAACCCCAAGCGAGGAGAATTCAAGGCCGGCTCTTGACCACCCCGATGGGACACCACAAATGGACCAAGATGGTGCCCTCCACCTGGAGGGAAGGGAGATGGGCAATCCGAAGCATGCTTTGGATCAATAGGGATGTGGAAGCGGAGCAAGTGCGGATCGAGTCGCCAGATCTGACAGCGGCCGTGATTCGGCTTCCCGAACGACTGGTCTTTATAGCATCAGTTTACGTGGAAGGAGGGGTGGCTTCTGCGTTGAGCGACGCGTGCGATCACCTGAGAAAGGCAATTGCAAAGGTGCGGCGAGACATGGGCGCTGTGGTGGAGGTCATGATTATGGGAGACTTTAACCGCCATGATCAACTCTGGGGAGGAGACGAGATGTCCCTGGAAAGACAGGGTGAAGCGGATCCAATCATTGACCTCATGAACGAGCTTGCTCTTAGCAGCTTACTCAAACGAGGTACAAAGACATGGCATGGTGGTGGACAGAGCGGGGACTGCGAGTCGACCATCGACCTCGTCCTGGCCTCCGATAATTTGACCGACTCAATGATCAAATGTGCGATACATGGGACAGAGCACGGCTCGGATCACCGTGCCATTGAGACTGTGTTCGATGCACCGTGGCCGATCCCAAAGTATCAGGAACGGCTTCTACTGAAGAACGCGCCATGGAACGAGATTAATGCTAGAATCGCGAGCACCCTGGCCGCCACTCCGTTGGAAGACACAGTACAGCAGAAAACCGATCGACTGATGTCTGCGGTCTCGGACGCGGTGCACGATTTAACTCCGAGAGCGAAGCCGTCACCACACGCGAAGCGGTGGTGGACAACTGATCTGACACAACTGCGTCATATATACACATACTGGCGAAATCACGCTCGTTCGGAGCGACGGGCGGGGCGAAAAGCACCTCGGCTCGAAAAGATGGCCCAGGATGCGGCGAAACAATACCATGATGCCATCCGTAAACAAAAGAAGAAGCACTGGAATGAGTTTCTCGCAGACAACGACAACATATGGACAGCAGCGAAGTATCTGAAGTCCGGGGAGGATGCGGCATTTGGAAAATTACCGCAGCTCGTCAGAGCAGATGGGACCACCACCGCTGACCACTTGGAGCAAGCAGAGGAGTTGCTGTCCAAATTCTTCCCGCCCCTGCCGGACAACATTGACGATGAAGGGACCAGACCACAAAGAGAGCCAGTGGAGATGCCGGCCATCACCCTGGAGGAGGTAGAACGACAGCTTCTTGCAGCGAGAAATCGTGGAAGGCACCGGGAGAGGACGGCCTGCCGGCGATAGTTTGGAAGATGACGTGGCCCACGGTCAAGTACCGGGTCCTTGAACTATTCCAGGCGTCGCTGGCAGAAGCCTCGTTGCCAAGACAGTGGAGACACGCGAAGATCATACCGCTCAAAAAACCGAATAAAGAATATTACACCATTGCAAAATCATGGAGACCGATCTCACTCCTAGCGACACTGGGCGATGGCTCGTCTTGACCTCTCTCACATTGCAGTTGCTGTGTGGGCGGGCCTTATGCATGTACGTATAAGAGCTGTTTGCTGATGTTGTAGGCGAACGACAACGAACACGTTATTGGGGCCTTTCACATCTAGACTATTTGGTGGGCCTTGCGATTACAGAAAAAAGTTGCGAAGGAGAGTCAAAGCTTCAGCGTGTTTTCATGTTTCCGTGTCGCGTGTTTACGTTATCTTATCGTAAGCTGGGGCTCCGGCCAATGGGAATTTTGAGTGGGTCTAAAGTTGAACCCCCGTAATAGGAAATATCATTTTGCTTCAATGGCACCGCGTTTATGGCAATACGAATGACGCGTTTTTAGCTGTAAATTTGCCGATGTTTATTCCTAATAACTTTGAAGGGAGAGTGTGGGCACGAAGGCCTTGTCTGCACTGTGGATGGCCGTGACATGAGGTTCATAGGTGAAACATTCAAGCGTGCTATATATATATATATATATATATATGATATATCCTTAGCTTCACGTATCACTGATTCCGTGGCATATGTTGCAGTGCCAACCCGATTTGCACGCGGGACACTACCGGTGTTTCCATCCAGCCACCACCCACACCAACACCAGAAATTAGCCCGAACAGTGAAGGCTTTCTTCGTGTACTGGCGCCCAAAGGTCAAGGCGAGCAATGTTGGTCGTTTTACCTGAGCCAATACCCGATCACCTTCCTTGCCTGTCAATATATTCGGGAAGCCAACACCTTACCCAACATAACGCGCTCATATGCGCTTGAATGACTCGAGGTTGTGATAAGCAGTCTTGTTGGCCGCGTTCACCAGCATCTTCAGTTCGCCCTCATCCCCCAATTGCTCGAAGAGTTTGCTCTGATTGGTCAGTATATAGTGGGGTTGACTGGGCGGTCAAGACTTACGCGTAAAAGCTCCTCCGGTGAACTGCAGCTTTTCAACTCCTCAGGCAGACCTTTGGCTTCGGCACTCCACGGGTAGTGTGGATTCTTCATGATCAGCCTTTTTACAACCTCAGCCAAAGCGAAAAGCTTCAGAGTTGCCGCGTCCATCTCGGCTGCATCGATTTGGCAGCTGTGCTCCACTCCCGCTACAAAATGGACCACCGTTAGTAAACTGTGCTCATGTGGCCCACCAGCTGCGCTCAGTTTCCCCACTCACCGATCCTGACCCCATCGGACTCTGTGAGCAACATGGTGTCGGCACTCAAGGCGGCGAGGGCTCTCCCGCGACTGCGCAGATATTGAATTCCTTCGAGGACCTATCAGGCATGAGCACTACTTTCTCATGTCGGGCGCTGAGACTAGCACTTACCGGCCGAACAATTGCGGCAACCTCACCCTCAGTAATAGTGCACCTCGATGCGAGGATCTAACTCACTGAGAGCTCTACTGATTCCCAGACCAAAAACACCTGATCCTCCCAATAGTAGCACCCCAGCAGACCCAGAGAGCTGGGATGAGAGAGTTGACTCCTGGCTTCCAACAGTGGCTTGACAGACGAAAACTGCTGCTTCAGAAGGTGGATATTGACCAGAGCCACTTTGTTGTTTCTGTGCCGGGCCAAGAAGACGGACTGTCCTTGGGAAATCACCACGATCGCCTCATACGTCAGCCATGGGTTTTGGAAAACCGGCTGAATATTCCAAGCTTGGTCTTGATCCTTCAGCTGTGCTGGTTCAGGATGAGCCGGAGCAGAAGTAGTTGCCGCTGGGTCGGGCTGGGGCCCGGAAGACGGTGCAGATGGATGGGTTGGTTTTTTCAAAGTGGCCCAATCGGGTGTTCCGTCACACCACACAGTAGGAGGTCTAGATGGCTGACGCTGAATGGAATCCATCTTAGGAGCGTGTCGAGTGCGAGGGGATAGCTTTGATTTGGCGGTGCCAGGAACCCTGAGTAGAGGGAAATGTTGCGGAGTGGTTAAGGCATCCATCCTATTTAATATTAATGGAGCCGCAGAGATGGCTGCCACCCTATGGAACTAGATTGATGCTGACCCATCAAAGCCGAGCATGGGCTGTTGTACGGGTGTTCAACGACGTCAGTGATCAAGCGTTGAAAGTTGCTGTTACACAAACGGTCGTCGCGGTAGAAACCGGCCCTGCCCCGCAAAAATGTACGGGTTCAATGTTTATGCATCCCAGAATTGGAATGAGCTAAGGTACTGTTTGTCTTTACTTAGAAACGATGGTGCGTATCGCCCCGGGTGAATCCCGTAATATCGAATAAAATGGTCTCGTGCATTCATCAGCCACCTCTCGTTTATCTGAAATCTACTCCTACGGCCGGAAGCGATCGGGAACCCGTCTCTGTCGAGCAGATCGACGAGTAACGGATGAGCTTGAGGGGATAGAGACCGGGAAACGATCTGAACGCCGGGCAAGCCGAGGCGATCGAAGCTGCGAGGGTACTGTTGGAACATCCGAGCCTTCTGCTCCTGTGTGTATGACTTCGAGAGGCATTTCGGTAGTCGACTCGCTAGTGACATCCCCAGCCACCGAAGAGGAAAGGAGGGCGCTGAAAGACCCGTGGCATCGACTGTATCCGTAATTAGTGAACCGACCACGGGAATAAAGGGTGATGAGTTACGTACTGTGTTGGGCAAGAGGTATTATTCCCGGGCAACCGATGGGCAAGCCAGCCGTCCATGCACCCCAAATGAACCACCCCCTTACATGCATCGCATTGCAGCATGACGGGATCATCGCTGTCTTCCTCAAAGCAGATCGGACACACCTCGCCATCTGGACAGGACCCTTGGTCGAAGCTGTGAATCTGGATGCAGTGCAGTCCACCGTGCTCATTGTTGATGGACAGGATGGCTGGATCATTCGGTGAAACATCCCAGGGCACCCGTTCCATTGCAAGCATATCTGACGTGACTTTACGACCAGGAGGCTGAGATACCTCTAACCATGTGGGGGCAGGAAGTCCCGGGAAGGTGATCTCGTCAATATCCCATATCGGAGGAGAGAGCGCATGTGGCTCAGAGGAAATTCCGGCTGATTCCTCTTCTATATCATCAACCTCTTCAGCTGTAGATGGCGAGAAAAGATGGCGCGGAGATGTCTGCGCGTGGACTTGGTTACGCACGGCTGCGTTAAACCACCGCTGTTTGACATCGTTCTGTTGACGTTCTTGATGCCACCTCTTGCAGAGGAAAAAGAAGACAATGCCATCCAGCTGAGAGTCAAGTGTAGAAAGATCGAATGGGCTCCGTGCAAGGTTGTTCAGCTTGTGCCGACCTTCTTTCAGGGTCTCTTTCTTCACAGTGAGCTTACAGGCATTTCCTTTCTGGGTAATGCCACAGCAGGACTTATCCTCCCTGAGGGGCCCCATCTGACAGACAGCCAAGGGGTCCCAAAGCCACCGAGAATCTGACATCTTAAGCGCAGAATATGTATGGGGGAGAAGGATTCAGGCAAATCTGAAATGCAATGGTTATAGCGGTAGAAAGTCAAACCATTGTGAAGATCTAGTTGAGCATATATAGTAATCATTTTCTCTTACCTGCAATTATGATACGTAAGGCCATATTGGCTGCATGGCACGCGACGAAAATTCCTGACTCCCAGGGCAGATGGTTGTGCTCCCGGGAGCACTTGGGCTCCCAGGGGCTAAACAAGAGTTCCTGGGAGTCATCTAGCGCACCCTGGGAGCTACCATTATCTGTAACATTCACCAATAGCCGTGAAGGCTCTACACCTCTTTTGGAAAGGTGCTTGGACCATCTGAACTGGTCGCATGTGAGGCTCCACTGTGCCCTCGAAGTACTTGATAAATGCAAAATTCTTATATAACTGAAGATGTACACCTTTTAGCCACTTGCTCTGCTTTAAAAATTTCACTTCAAGTTGAATCGCGGTCATCATTACATCTACAGCAGATACTCTTTTCATCGCTGCAAACATGGACTGGAGCTCTGACCATATACAATCAATGTTCGGTCGAATCATCGGCGATCCCACTCACCGTTTGGAGTGTATATAGGTCGCAGAGAATGGAATTTGTTGTCGAAATACCGTGTCGAAAGATTCAAGGATAAATGGAGCAATATGCCTCAAGACGTTCCAAGAGCTTCTTGCCGGCCATTCACCTGGATTGAGACTCTCAACGGCAGCAAGTTACATGCTATGTGCAGAATGCAGACGTCATTCCTCTAGGGCCAGGAAGTGTGCCCAACGATGGATGCATTTGCTTTACACTCAAGCCAATCAAGTTGAGAGAACCACACCAATTCAGCAACATGACTACAACTACGATCCATTGGCACATCGCTGGCCAACTGGTATGTCCTACGGCATTGGCAGAACCGAATGCCTTCTATTAGCGTCTCTGTTCTGTCATGTAACCCATGATAAGTTTTCATAGGCGGCAAAATAGAGGCAGAAACCTCTCAATGAAAGACATACACAAGGTACTCTTCGTGCAGCCAGAAATGCCAGAGATCGTTACATCGAGGTCTTGTCAATCATTCCAAACAAACAGGCCTCATCCAAACCGTTCGGCCTGACAACAGCCATCACCGCTTGACCATGATCAAAACAATATCCTCTTCCTTGCTGCCACCTATGTTGCCCTTTTGACCAGATTTCCCCCTACACGGCAACGACCAAGCTTATTAGCTAGCCTATTGATAGCGCTAGCCCCACCACCTTCCCCGGAATGGAACTCGCCTGTATCTATTTAGCATGAATGTATATTCAATCTTGCTGGAGTGCATACCAAACTCGAAGTTGCCTGTACGTGTGTGGACTTTCTGGGATCTATCACCAGGCAGCAACTCGGGTGATGGAGCTGCAGACCGCCGAACGCGGCCCCATTCAAATGCAGCCTCAAGGGTATCAGAAGCGGACTTGGTTCGTGGACTGGTTTCAGTAGGCTTGGGAGGATCTTCCCCCAGAACAAGCTGAAGCTCTCGCGTCAGCTTCTGGGCAAGACGAAAATCCATATCGTCTCAAATTAAAATGGCTCCGTGACTTTTTTGAAGAAGTACTGTGAAGTAAGGAAGTGACGGTGTGTATCCAGGGATGCATATATTTAGAAACGAACCCGATCAGAATTCTGCCAATACTGTCAATAGCAAAAGGTCAAAGCAGATCCTAAGTACATGTAACCGTTGGCGACGTGAGGCTTGCCTCTTACAGCCTCGGTCAAGTTGGCAAACGGACATCAACACATATGAAACAGGAACCATGCACATTTGTATCATTGTTCAGCATCGAGTTAGCTGCCCTGTTCTGCGGCCTTTGTGCCATCAATTTCCGAGTCACCGACATTTCCACCGCTAGTATTTGACTCCTGTATTTCCAACTGCTTTAACAACACATCAAGCATTACATGTGTTGACTCCGGCTCATGACCGGGTTCCTTGGCACCGCGCTCCTTCAAAAGATAATCTATCACGCCTCCCATCTTCTGAGTGAGTTCATAGAAGATATCCGCCAACCTGGATACATGGTCCCTATCCTCAATTGCGTGTTTGAGGGTAGCCTGCATATCACCCAGTGCTTGTTCGAGCTTGGCCTGGGCTCTTTCTGCCCGGACGGCCCGAGTGTCTAACCTGGCAAGGATACGAAGATACTCCTATTCTCAGGTTAGATGGGCTTCTGAGTAATCCTGTAAACCTACCGAGGAATCCATAGAAAAGATAAGGACCAAGTCGTCAACAGTAGGCAGCTTGAAGCAAGCAGCAGTTCGACTGTTCTGTATCAAAAAAGGATGTTTCATTGGCATATATAGCTTTATAACCATAGCCATCCTCTAACTAGAGCCTTCCCCAATAGACATCCCTTTCTGCGGGTTTTCAACGGGCCGTATGGGCTTGTTTCTGGCCATATGCGGTTGCACGAGTATAGAAACTGCCTCCAGGTTTGACCCTCCGTAATGTAACCGGCCAAACTTTGAATCGCTTGAGAAAATTTACCAGGTCTACACATCAACAATGACAGACCAGGACAAGCCACGCCAATTTTATTGACACCCGTTAGTTCTCAAGGCGCCCCATCCTGGAAGGGCCTCCCGAGGATATTTATTACAAATTGGAACTTCGGCGCCGAACCTTGTGAGGACAGACTCTCTGCCTGGAGGGAAGATTACGGCCCTAAATCTGAGAAAAGGGTGAAGAGAGAACACAGAAGGGGAAGATCCAAAGGCGCCGCCCAGGAAAAGCCAACCGAGCCAGTGTCACATGGGACAGAATCTTGGCATGCCAGTCAGTCCAGGCCAAATGCGTACCGTACCCTGGCATACGCCTCCTAATCACGGATTGGTGGAAATTATGCCACAGGATTAATTTACCGGTAGTCCACAATATGTTTTCGATTTCTGGTTGAGTGGCGGCACTGTTGAATCGCGATCGACTCTGAAGGTGGAGTACCCTATCAGCCTCCACGTATCAGAGGCAATATTGTTCGGCCTCCTCGAATGATCTCTAAAATGATTTTACGATTTAACGTCTTGAGCATGAATCAGCGCGCGGTCCACATACTCTGTATTGCTGTCAATACTTACGTCATGTATCATACTGTAGACCTTCTCTAGTAGTCAGCCGCGACGAGTGCGAGCCAGAGAATGGTTACTGTTTCTGGGCTAAACAAATCTATGAGGTCGCGATCGATCCTATTTGGAAGACTAAATTACCACTATTCTTTTACTTATTAATGGGACTCTATCCCCCGCGCTAACTGAATGGTCTACAAAACGCGGGACAGGTCAAGGCAAATAAACGGATAGCGAGAGCCGGACACGGGGCGAAATTACACGGGCCAGGCAAAACTTGGTTAGTTGGAATGAGCATGGGGTCAGTATTCCAGTGACCTGTTTATTGAGGATGTTTATGAGGGCTACCCACTAGCATGTAGAGTGCTCTATCTCGTACAACGCTCAGTCCAACCGCAGGATCACTAGTGACGGAACATCACAACCGTTGAGGAGCCTAACGGTTAATTGATGGTAAACGGAAAGCAGGGAGCAAAACCGGAGAACAAAATGGTCAATGGCCGGCCACCGGAATGTAACCATATCCATGATACTACAGGGATAACCGTTTATTGCGGGCCTGTCGTCTCTTGTCAGGCCGATGAACGGATTTTCTCCCCAATGTGGCAACCTCACAATATTGCGGTCCACATGAATCGGTGGTGAATCTACTCATTTCACCGTGGTCTAGATCCTAGCCAGTACTACCGGAGACATTTAAAAGCTCGTGTTGCCCCCCCCGAACCGGTAAGTCTAGAGCAAAAAACCGTTTCTTCTTGTGAAAGCCTCCAAGTAACCACTTTCAGAGGCTTAACGTTCAACATGCCTTCCCGCAGATCGGCAGCCCAAGCCCCCGCTAGAGCTAGCCAGGGCATTCCCGAGTCAAATGTTGTCCCCAAACGCGCTCGGCGGACTACTATCACTGGACCTGATACTGCCCCTCTGTCAGCCACTCAAGGCACACACCTGCAGCCACCGCTGGTATGTCCTGCCATCACCGTCCCGTGAATGCAAGTATACTCAGAGCTAATGCGGAATCTAGTCTCCCTCGCCTATAGCCAAGACCCAGAAACAAAAACACTGGAAGATTGTTCATCGACCATGCTTGCAGGTTTTTAAAGACGCGGATAGAGAGCGGGACGAGTCAACGCTTTCTATCCAGCGACTAGAGGCCGACAACGCCCAAGCCGCAGCGAAGATCCGCCTGCTGGGCAACGAAAAAGATCAGTCTCTAGTCAGGGTCCAGGCACTTGAGATGCAAATATGGAATTTGAAACAGCAACTAGAGACCGCGCAGTTCAGTGGCATGGCGAGTGATGACTTGTTGCCTTGGCTGATGCAGACGAGCGCCGATTTCATGATTGCGCAGACCAAACTTTCTAGCAGAGTAGAAGCAGAGAAAAACAAACGCCTGGCCGCGACCCTGCCTGCTTCTGATGTGTTTCAAGGGAACTGGCAAGCCCAGAATGGGCACCTTGGAATGCTTGATACCAACTCGCTTCCAGGTTATCCACTACCGAGTGCCCTTCCGTTGACAAATCAAGAAACGCTGGCCCAAGCCAACCAACAAGCCAACCAGTACACATCGCCCTTCTGAAGATGGGCGTGGTGTGGAGAGGGAGATGGGTCGCCTCACAGAGAAAGCCATGCTGTCATAGTGATCTTACGGGATTATTCATCTAGCTAACATAAAATGGATATATACGTAGCTTTGGGATAGTGTGCAATATAATATATGCGGCTTCACAGGTGCCTGTCTTGTAAATGGAGGACTCAGGGAATATCGTTATAAAATCCAAAGTTGGATGGATCATGTCGTAGAATTTGAGTGGTGCGAATGAACTATAGCTACCGGAAAAACCCTGACATCGGCGCAATGCCTTTAGGGCAAAGGGGAAGCAATATGGGTGTGTATTCAATTTCTATACTCTTACGGCTCTGACCCTTCTACGCGGAGCTCGGTGATCCCTTCGATTAGCCTTTTGTGGATATCTTGGCTTGGTCTTGGCTTGGTCTTGGCGTGGCTGGGCCTGGCATTTTCAGGGGTAATTTCGAAAGAGGGCTAGCGGTGATTTGCAGATCCCGTTCGCAGATGTATTTTCATCTCGCATCCACGGTCGGGCGACGCCTTGATTGCCTTCCACACTCGTCCTTTCCTTTTATGCGTTTTTCCCCCGCTATAATAGAGAAATAATCTGACAGCCCATTATCCAGAAATTATTATACATAACCTACATTTCCTTGGGTGATACCCATGGGTGACCCACTTACAGACGTGAGGATGCAATGGCACTAGGGGAACGAATGACATCTGTGGATTGACGCATGGTATGGCACGCATTCCTCCGTAATACGGTGGCTGGTAATTTGAGCCAGATTTGGTCTAGTGCTTGGCCGCGCGCCAAAATATCCGATCAGAATCGGGCCGCGGCACGACCCATGTCGGCACGGATCGCAAGCTTTCTTTCCTCACATGGCGTGCATGGCGCACAGTCCATGAGTCACGATCCCCTTGATGTACCGCTATCACGTTGACCTCACGTCATTCATCTGGCCTTCAGGCCTTACCAGCAGCTGCGAACCACGAATTATTGCACTAGCCAATTGCGCTAATTATTTTAATATCCAGTCCCACCACCTGGACAAGGACTGACACATGAATCTCGGCACGAGCCGCGTAGGAGATGTTGATTATTGCCGTATTGACTACTTCTTGCGACTAGGAGTGGAGTGGACGTAGTCAGTCGCATGTTCTCCCTTGAAGAATATAGAATCAGCTACGAATGGAGCTTGTTCCGCCAGCCGGAATGAAAAGGTTGGAGATCACGACCTAAAACGGCTTGAGCTAGAGAGAAATTAGATCTCGCGCTGTCCATAGCTCGGTTTTATCCCTGTCTGGGGTGTGGAAGCCAAAGTCCCAAATTTGGGTGATATGGATCGGGATATGCTCGTCAAAATTAGTCACCTGTGATTCGTTCTCAAGCGATGTGCAAGATCCCGTAATGGGCAGTTCAAGCGAGGCGGACTTTACGGATCCGCAAATCAATTTTATTAAGGCCCATTGGCAAATATTGGCGGAGCGACGCGGGATAAGTGGAGTCGGTTTCCTCCGGCGCGTGATTTGATGATAAACGCGAAAATATGGGGTCGATGATAAGATTATGCGAGTGATGTGGAAATTATAGAAATTACTTACCGTGCGTGGATCCGGGATGCCCTGCCGGGGATGTAGGGAATGGTGATCGCGATCCGAACCGGAAGCGACTGAGCTTCCCCCGGACCAATCCCAAAGCTTTCCTGCCGTCTAGACCGGTCCATGAAGGTCAAAAAAAAAAAGCCTCGCAGCGGATTCGAGATCATCAGTCCTCCAACAGGACTACGACCGTTCTCAAATATACCACGGAATTCATCGTCTCTATGCGAATAACCTTGGCTCTCACAAGCGACGCGGTTTTGGCGCGGAACTTGCCTGAAGGCAACACGTGATCCTCACGCGAATTGCCTAATACCACGTCGTCGATGAATGAGACCAGATACAATAAAGGATAGACAATGGATAAACGGATTATTGAGTGATTTTCTCCATTATAGTAATTTCCAAAGGCTTCGATTTGCGTTCTACATGGTTGCTGAACGACGACAGGGCCCGTCTCACGTCCTTTCGATCCTCAACTGCACTGTTCTTGCCATTGTCCTTCTATAACATCCTAACCTTTTCTTTCAAGGCAGCCACTTCTTTCCTCGCCGAGTCAATACTATCCATCATGTGACCCACTTTTTGCTGCATTGCTTTGTTCCACAGGTCCTGGCTCTTGAGTGAGTCTTCAATAGATCTGATGCGTATTAGCGTGGGAATCCTGTGGTCGTCTCTAAGCACAAGTACTCACTGCATTCGCACATCCAATCTAACAGAAACAAGCTGTTAGCACGCAGAACCACGGATAGTCCCGTAGGACGGGTTAGGACACTCACTCTGCCATACAATCGATGATTGTCGATTTCGAGCCTCTGGAGTGCCCAGGGTTCGGAGGCTTTACATATCTGTGTCCATGCTCGGCCGCACTTTCATGTTTTATCGCCCGATGAGTAATTTCTTCATCACTGCATTCATCCATTGAAGTTCCCATGCCTTCGTCATCGGATTGAACGTCGGTCTGCTGGTAATGGCAATCCTCGCCAATGGAGCCAGCAACTGATCTAGACGGGTCGTGAACATTGCTCGGCTCAGGTGAACCCGATGAAAACAATTGAGACATTCGGTCTGAGTATCTCTGCAAACTGCTGTTAGGCGGAGACGTCTGGACACCCATTATTATGTTGCTTGAAGTAGGTCAAGTAGAGGTTTGAGGAACGAGGGATGATGAGTTAGTCCTGTAAACACAATTGGGGAATGGGCTCCTTTTAAAGGTTCAGATTGAAACAAGTATCCAAACAGTCTAGCAATGATTACCTGAGCTCAGTACCGCCCAGTACCCTCAGAGATATACAGTATGGGTGGATTCATCCACGGCCACTGACAGAGGTCTCCAAGCCTTCGAGCGGACCCAAGAGAGGGAAGTAAAAAGAAAAAGGAAAACAGAGAGAGAAAGAAAGTAGAAAGGGAATTGTGGTGACCTCAGGAAGTCCGTTGGTTGGGTAGGGCCTATGCTTCTCCTAAGTGTATCAGGCCCCCTCAAGTTCGCTTTTATTATTTATTTATTATTTATTATTCCCGAACGACTTCAAATCTACACACAGGACAGGGGTGAAAGACCGTAGTCTGGCCGGAGCGCCGGAGATTGGAGAAGAGATTCGTACCTGTGACTGGACTACAACCGAATTTTCACTGGGTCCAACGTTTAAAAACAAGGTGACAAATACCCCTCGGAAATCGACCGTTTTCTCAACAGGTGGGATATACTGACAGGCTGAGACACCAACCTCACAAAACCGCTGGTCTTTCCACCCAACATGAACAGCCTGTTTAACCGTGTGTACCCATTGGCTTGAACGGAAATTGCACTGGCTAACCAAGTGCAGATCCTTCTTTCTTCCGCACTAATCTTTGTCCCTCAATATCTACGCCGGCATAAACGGTCTGAAGCAGAATGTCTTTGGTGAGAACAATAGACTAGGGCCTTGCCGGACAAGATCAGAGATACCGTTGTAACATAAGACCACAATCAAAAAACGCTGCCGGTGCTTTCCCATCATTGATAAACCGTGACCACCCCAAACTCGACCGACTTCCTTAAACACCTCCCATTGCACGGTCCCTGCACACCCTCACTTTCCACCGCCATTCTGTTTCAGAGGTTTGATTGTCTTCGCCAAGATGCCCAAAATTGCCTGGTCTCTATCGGAAGAGGAGAACCTCCATCCATGGCTACTACAGCATCGAGGGATGTCGTGGAAAGCAAAATCCAAGGCATACTTCAGACAGTTCGGACTAAAGCGAACGGGCGAGTCGTTGCGAGGCAAACGGAACTATCTATTACGAGAATACCGCGCTATGCAGAAGAGACTGTCTGAGGCCTCCCAGTCGGGGAAACGCCAGCCACGAGTCCGACGCGAAGAAGCCTTGAGAATATTTCTACCGTCTCCTCCCATCTTCACACCCAGAGCGTCCAGCGCAACAGCCCACCATTTGCTCCACGCGATGCAACATCTGGCAGATCCGGAACGTCGCTGTATGACAGGAGGCCCGGAAGGTGCAGACCAGAGTCTATTAGGTGAGATGGAGAGACAGCCCTGGGCGACGGTCAGGAGGGCTAATGATTCGATAGGTTATACGATCCAAATGCCACATACTCTAAGATCCGACCCCTCGCGCTACGTTGCGTACCACTGGAAGTTTATACGCCGCGTGTCAGCTGCTTTGAGGCATCGCAAAATGCTGCGATTTAATGAGCGTTCAAATTCGTCCCTTCGGTGTACATCCGGATTGTTTTCGTACTAGGCCTGTCGCAGTTTTCGCCATATCCATGTATATATATATATTGTATTGCCGTCCTCGACAGCTTGCTGGGTCAGCACGGCTGAATGTATCGGGGTTCTAGTGCTCTCCCGAGAACCCTAGCCAAGACATTCGCTCTACAATGTACAATTTTGGCGTAGCGCTAGGAGTGGATATAAGGTAGTTAACGGGTTTGATCGTTAATAATTTATTGAAACTACTTTCGCGAGTATCAGGAACCCCTGCGCACAGGGCACCAGTAGTTCCATGGTTCGCGTCGACAGGGCCCCACTGTCTATGTACCTCCCCTCCCGTCCATCCCGAATTAAATGACCGCTAGTAAGGGAAGATCAAACACATGTGGGGTTGCTTTGATTATTTTAGTAAGTAATGCATATTTACGTACTTTGAGTTGTATACCCTTGAGCTTTACCGCAATGGCGGGAGTTTTCTTATTTTGGCTGGTGAAAAGGTTGCTTCTAGGCTTGGGAACATTTTTACTCATGACATTGTATCCAAAGAGCATCGCTTGAAGATAAAACCATATCACTCAGCTGAATCTTGCCGTAGGGCACCGTCTTTACTGTTGTTTCCTTTCTTCGGCTTGGTTAAAGGGCTAATGACTGGTCACTGAGGCACTGCCCGTTTCTTGCGCGCAGGATTGCTCTGAATGGTGGAAACTTGCCTTTCCTTGCACAACTCATCTAGGCGATTTTTCATGTTCTCCAGTGTTCCCTCTAGTTCCTGGATCCTGCCTTTGAGTGCTGTTGTTTCGCTCAGTAATGCCGCGTTTTCGGTCAATACAACGGCGAAGCCATCCTGTGTAATCGTCTTGATGAAATGTTCGATCTTCCTATTCATTCTAATTAGCATCTTGGTTTGTCCACTTGCAAAGCAGGCGTGGAGTCTAGCAATGTACTGGAGAGGGAATCTGCCAGATCAAGGAGAAGGCTGTGGCACTCACTTGACTCGCTTGTGAAGGCTATAGAATCCAAAGTCAGCAAATAAAACCAATCATTAGGGTGGTGGAAACTCACTCCGGGTCTTGGTGGGTTGAGTGCGAATATTGCTGTGCTGCAAGGAAATTCAAGTCAGCTACGATTTATCTCGCCCGTGGGCCTGGCCTGCAGATGACAATACCTTTTTCCTTGTCGGTACGGGGTGTCAGATCAGGGGTTTCTTGGAGTGGGCGCTGCTCTTGCGTGAGGCGAGGTGAAGCCGCTTCTGTCGGGTTTTGCTCTTCCACTGGATACATCATGCTAGAGAATCGTGTTTGATAGCCACCTGGTTGGCTTTTGGACCCTAGACGTTGTGTATACGCCATTGATAAGATGTTAAGAAATTGAGAGCGAAATTTCAGGATAGGGGGAGGATGGGGGAGAAAGGGTAAAAGGTGGGTGGAAACATGATTTATGCTTGCTATGGATCACGTTATTGCAGGCACTAGGCGCGGACCGGTAAATGCCGTGATCTGTGGTTATTATGTGCCAAAAAAAGAATTTACCATACGTAAAAGACAGTAAATGCCTAGAGACGGTGATTTTAACTGTTCGAGGCTAGCTAGAGCAGAAGGCGATTTGAAACTCACGTAACGAAAGTGCTGCGAGGGATTTCAACAAACTTGTCACGACGAGTTGGGCGAAAGAGGGTCATTTGACCATAACATCTTGAATTCTCGAAGATATCAGGATATGAGGGCACTTCAAAGACCGGTTTCATAAACCTTGTTTGATTCACATGCCCCGATTTCAATTAAACGGGTACCAGAGGCTCACTTGGGGTTCATTGGATATTCGTATGACTCGATATCCACCCATCAAAAAGTGGGACTGACCACCAGGCGAGGCTGGGATAGTGTTGCATCGCGTTAATGGTGCATGTCGGGTGCCGTAGCAGATTATATAAAAGAGCGATACGCGCCCACTATCGGAGACTAGGAGCAGGCTTCCTGCCCTCGTGCGCTCAGATGATTTATTTCATCTCAGCTCTCTATTTCTCGTCTTCTGACTTGAAATTCTGCCGCAGCATTGCGGTCCTCACTGCCCTGAGCCCCGTGAGGTTATGTTCTGTGCTCCCTCATTGCCCTGAGCCCCGTGAGGTTATATTCTGTGCTCCCTCATTGCCTTGAGCCCCGTGAGGTTATATTTGTGCTCCCTCATTGCCTTGAGCCCCGTGAGGTTATTTCTGTGCTCCCTCATTGCCTTGAGCCCCGTGAGGTTATATTCTGTGCTCCCTCATTGCCTTGAGCCCCGTGAGGTTATATTTGTGCTCCCTCATTGCCTTGAGCCCCGTGAGGTTATTTCTGTGCTCCCTCATTGCCTTGAGCCCCGTGAGGTTATATTCTGTGCTCCCTCATTGCCTTGAGCCCCGTGAGGTTATATTTGTGCTCCCTCATTGCCTTGAGCCCCGTGAGGTTATATTTGTGCTCCCTCATTGCCTTGAGCCCCGTGAGGTTATATTCTGTGCTCCCTCATTGCCTTGAGCCCCGTGAGGTTATATTTGTGCTCCCTCATTGCCTTGAGCCCCGTGAGGTAATATTCTGTGCTTCCCCTAGCGATGTGCAGGCACCTCTCCGTGGTGCTAGGGATCAGTACTCAGTGGTCGCAAGTCGATACTCGAGGAAGCTAAGACATGCACAAAACCTATTTACTACCTTGTTTCTCTTAATCCGCGCACAGCGATCGTATCTCGAGCTTTCCCGTAGTATGCACCTACAAGTCGAATGGATGATACATACCTTGGACGTAACTACCGAAATTAAACTCAAATTACTGTTCCTAACTTAAAAGAATAATAGTAAATCAAGATTCACGTTAGCCAGACTTGTCTACCAATGCCATTTGACTTTGTACACTTGGAAGTACCATGGTGCACTGAATTCAGTCCTGGTACTAATAGAGAAGAGAGCTCTCTACATGAGGTGTGATGCGATAAAGCCCAAGTCATTTCCAAGCCAGTAAACCCAAGGTGGGCGGATTGTTATGAAGAGTAGCTATGAAGAGTGGTTATGAAGAGTGGTTATGAAGAGTGGTTATGAAGAGTGGTTATGAAGAGTGGTTATGAAGAGTGGTTATGAAGAGTGGTTATGAAGAGTGGTTATGAAGAGTGGTTATGAAGAGTGGTTATGAAGAGTGGTTATGAAGAGGTTAAGAAGTGGTTAAGAAGGGGTTAAGACCTGGGCGTGTTGAAAGATTAATCAGGGATTATTGGGACGTCAACCTTGGTCATCTCCAGCATTCGTTCAACGCATCCAAGAGCACTCTTTCACTGAACAAGTCCGCAAACAACCACCGATTTAGGTATATTTTGCGCCCTGGACTGCCCAATTCCAGCGAAGGGACAGAGACGACTTTACCAGGTAGGAATGTTGTCATCGTGAAAACCTCTATATAAATGTCTACAGCCGGTATGCGAAGAACCCGCGGTGTGCAATCTTTCTTCATCCTCAAGGCTTCGCAACAAGAATGTATGGAATTATGAAACGGCAATACACGCTCTCTCTTTTCTATCGATTCATTCGCAGATATCGATTATTGGCGGAACCATACCCAACATCCTCTTTTGATGGATGCAGCAAATTAGCCAAACGCACGCATGTAAGTCTGAATAATAGGTTGCTAGCTTGCCCTGTACAGTACTGACATTTTGAAGCTATCCTCTGTGTCTGCCTCCCACGAGCCCCCGATCAAAATGATGAATTCTCTGTTGCAGGGCTATCGCCCCACTTTCAAGCCCCATCCTCTGGGGCGGGAGGCGGAGTCTCTTCTGCTTTTGAGCCCTGCACAACAGATGTGCTACTACAATGGGAAATTGTTTGGCGGATACATTGCCCTATTGATGGACCGCATCATTGCCGATTGTTGCAAACCAGCGGTGACAGCCTACCTGAACACGTCTTATCTCCAATCGGTTCCACCAACAGCTCCGATACTTCTTCGTGCATGGCCTGATAGGGTTGAAGGTCGCAAGATTTTCCTAAAAGGGTCCCTCCAGATTCCAGGAAAGGCTTCTCAAGATTGGATTGAGGCAGTCAAAACGGAAGCTTTGTTTATAGGGCCGAAAGATCCGGAATAAGGGCCATCGTCTTTGACGATGGGTTCCTGGGAGGGAGTGAATTCATTATCTTTATGTGTGAACCAGCGGCTACAACACCCACGTGTCTGCATTTCGAGATTCTCCGGTTGTCATCTATTTCTCTTTTTAGCTAGTCGTCATTTTCTAGTGGTTTGTGAAATTATATACTCGTCCTTGTGCCCCTCGCTTGCCTGGTCATACTACCTGGTCATAAAGAAACATTGTTCATTATTGCCCTTTTCCGGAAGGAGTCCAGCCCTTTCCAAGGTATTGGCTGGAGCAGCTTATGTCCTCAAGGAGGTACTGGATTATACAGCAATTTGTTTGTCTCTAGCTAGGATCTGATTCCTCATAATGTACCGGCGGCAAAGTGACGGGCAAAAGAATGTTAGTGTCAAGACGTTCATAAGTCTCTTTCGCCTTTTTTGCGACCACGAGATCTGCCTAACTACCGCCAAAGACTGCTACGTTCGCTTCAAGCCGTCTCTGGAGGGGAACAAGCCATTGCTTGTGGCTCCTTGGGTGAAGCATGGCAGCAGGAAAAATTAGAAATTCTTCGACCCACGTGGCTGAACGGTTTACTTATACGTCGCTGGCCAGTGGATCATGTCATCCTCGAATGTCTATCAGTGTTTCCCTAGCTTCTCTTTCCTACATTGCAGTCAGACGAGGCAGTGACTCAATATTTAGCCAATCGCAGCCTACCGGATATCGATCTACTCCCAAGGTTTCATGGCCACCTATGCTGGTATTAAATCATGAACAATAACACATGTAAGATGATTCTTGGAGAGATCAATGTACGCGAAAGAAGCAATACATAACCCAAGTTTTGCCAGAGGAACGAGTTGCTTTTAGGTCATTTTCAGCCAGGATGACTTGCGTTTCCAAAAAAGCGTGATTGTATATGCTTCAACCTGCACAAATATTGGAAATTGCGTAAGTGATCTCTTTTTCCGTATAATGATAGCGTGAGGGCTCGAGTCAGAAAATGAAAGTGTAGATTACAATCTTCAATGAATGGACCTATTGTCAGTGCTATCTAAGATCAGGCCACGTAAACTTACATTCCGGAAACCTTGCAGGTGTTGAATGCCGGGTCTCTGAAATCTAGACCGAGGTTTTCCATTGCTTCCAATAGATCATCGACAGATTGTTTCTATAATCAGCAGAAGGCGGTAAGTACTAGTGAGAAATACGCCAAAGGGACAGCTCACGAGGGCCATATCTTCCGCATCCTCAAGTGAGAACTTAATTATTTGTTGACCGACTCATGGCTTCGAATAAGGTCGTTCATCCAGCGATCGATGGCATTCAAATCCCAATGACCATTGGAGGGTTTCAAATATGGGTGTTGTTTGGTTATGGAGATGATTTTACGTTCAATGGCGCTGAGAGAGCGAATGTGGCCTCGACGCAGAAGCAGGCAGCAGAGCGACTTGGAACGGATGCATCGGGACGAAAAACAGACCGTGATAACAACTTCCTCATTTGACCAGTTAAACATGATACCTGCATCCTTCATCCCGACAACTGCTTCCCATCAGCCAATTTATATGACTACTCACGTGGTATATCGGGACGGCTTCTCAAGATGCTGTGCGATTGTGTGAAAGTTTTCGCGAGATTCTGAGAAAAATGGTAGGTCCAAAGCACAGGCCATATTTTTTCTGAGGGCAGGTTAAGACAATATCTCCACCGGCACAATATGTTCATAGCAGCCTATGTTGCTCTGGCCGGGTGCTCTTGGTTTTCGGTCAAAGTCTCGGAGTGTCACCAGCCTCCTGCAGTTTCATGACCGTATTCAACGAACGGTCGATAGTATGTCGGAAGACTGGTCAAATCTAGCAATGTGTTCTAGAGTATTACTTAGTTCCCGCTCGTCGAGGTTGATCTTTTCTACTTGCTGTTAACCGTTGCTCCTGCGCAAACCGACCGGCTCATTGTTGAGCATTTTGTGAGATGTAACCGAAAAATTATTTGTTTACCAAGAGTACGAATAATAATGTGTTACCTTGCTCTATCCAGTACTGACATTACATTATTATCTGACCTTCTGTTTCAAACGGGCTTGATGTATGATTTATTAGCGTAGTAAAACTGAGAAGGACTGCTGGATTATCCGGCTCTAGTGATCAACCGCATGGGCTTGTCTCGCGTGCATGAACCATGGAATTAATGACGGAACCAGCCGCCGATACAGTCTAGAACTTCTATACCCCAAATGCGGCCGTCATATGAAATGCCAGGTTTCATAATCCCACTTAGCGGTCATGTAGTCTCGTATTGGCTGTGCTCTGTATTTTATCCCATTTTAGTTTTAAAATGGGAGGTGGGTGCGGACCCATCTCTCGATCCCCGGCCCAATCAGTAACCCCACTCCACGCACCCTTTCTGAGTTGGAACCGACATTAAGGAAAAAATCCACCCAGTGTAATTTGCTTCAAACAAACTTGGTCCGTACACGTGATGTCAACGGATGGGTTTATAACTAGCGCGCTGTCGGACCTCTGCTTAGCATCCTGGACCTCAATGTTTGTCCTCGAGTAAACATCAGTCTTTGGTAATTTATTCTTATTATGTGCGCCCACAGTTTCCTAACTAATGTTCATTCAGATTGAGTCACGTTCTCGATGGACACCAACGCTGTCACTGTTCAAGGCTCTGGTCACCCCATTGGAGAAGATGATTGCATGTTGAACTGTCTGCCAGAAATGAAAAGCGTGTATTCTGAGCATTTTAAGCCTGTTCAAGACCAGCTGTCTTTGGTTCTTCAACACTCTCGGTCACATTACAGGGCACTGGCGGGGCGAGAGAGCTTTGCTGGATTCTTGAACGTACCCCTCATAAGCGACACCCTAGTGAAGACAATAGAAGTGATGTTTGGAGCACCGAAACCTTGTGTGCTTCAGCTCCAGAACGACGAAGCCAGTGCCAATATTAATTGGCTTGACGTTGTCAAGGAAAGGAATTATCAGGCCGAATACAAAGGGAATGGAATTCATCATTTCCATATGCGGGACCGGGGCGTGATTGTCCAGTTGTCTGCTTTCCAACACAACATGATCCTTTCAGGATTACCCCGGAAGCTTGTTCAACCATGGTCCTACGAAAGGGACGTACAGACAGAACTAAACACCTTGGCGCTGACAGCCGAAATGACATCACGGGTGAACCAAATTGCATCCGAAGGTAAGCCCACTCAAACATTATGTTTATCCTATTCACTCGCTTACATCACCTCGCAGTCATCAAAGCCAATAACACTGTGCTTGAAGAGGTACTAAGAAGAGATCGAATTCTCCGCCGCAATCCAGAGCCAAGTCAAAGATCGCCGGGCTCGCCCTTTCCCCTGGAATCAGCCGAAGAGCCAGCAATCTTTACGCCAGCGCAGGTTGACGCTGGTTCGCTCGATGGGATGACTATTGAGACTCAAAGAACAGACGTGCAAGCCAGTGCTTCAAAACGCGATGCTGGAACACAGAACTGTAAGTAATGCACATAAGAAGCGTGGCGTTGAAATTGGAGAGGTTGAACAAATGTACTAATAATTTGGATGTACCAGTCCCCAAAAATAGGGCTTGGCCTGCGGAAATATTGAAGCAGCTTCCTCTATGGTTCGAACACCAAGTGCAGGAGAATCTGTCGGAGGAAGAGATTGCCCGGAACTTTCACCGAACATTCAAGCAAAAACGGACTTTTCATGCTATTGAGGCAAAAGTGTATTTCTTAACAGGAAAAAGCCCTTTTAGGAAGCGCAATAAGAAAGCCTCGCGCAAAAGACCTGTGGCTTTGACACCTCGCTCCTCCCCACCGCCGTCTCAACCCTCTGAATCAGTGAATTTCACCGAACAATTGATCTCGAGGTCGAACATCGAGGTTCACGCTTTACGTCTAGCCTCGAACCTGCTACCCTATCTGAATTCTGAACACTGCGAGGATGGAAGCCTTTACGCCCTCCATGGTGTTCAACCGGCTGACCCTGAACCAGAATCCAGTGACTTACATGCAGTGCTTGAACAGGATACTGCGAATCAAATGTTAAGGTTCCGGCACGTATCTCAAGAGCATGAACTACAGTCAGGTACATGCCAGAATGAATGGCCAGTTCGAGAAAGCCTTCAGGCTGAAGAATTGCCCAAAGACCATCCAGTGTTCTCAGATCTGGTGCCCGAAAGTCAGCCAAGGAATGACAATCCAATCAATGTCCTCGCAACATCAGGGATGGTTGATTCTTGCTTCACTCGAAGCTCTCCCTTAGAACCCCCTCGGATATCAGAACCTTTCCAATCTTCAATCTGGCATCCCTCTGAAGGTGATACCACACTCGAAGAGCTAGGCCAAACGCTTATTCATCGTACTGAGTCCAGTGCAAGACACGTGGAACAGACAGACACGGCGCGTGGCAACAAACCATCAAAGAGACTTTCTCCGCAATCTTCATCGCGTGGAAATCCATTGGCTAGAGGTTCAGCAAATGGGGGTTCGAATAATGAAAGCCACCCTCAAAACTGCGGAATTGATGAGCCAACTATCGATATCTCTGAAAGAGCTTTGACTGACGAAGGATTGATTATAATATGTCTCCATGAGAAGTCTAAAGCACAGGCGGCGCGTTCTCATCCCAATTGGAACGATAAGGACCTGAACCGTTTACTAGGGTGGCACATGAAACGGAAAAACCTACCAAAGGAGAGACTTGAAGTGGAGTTTCTGAGAGACTTTGGCCACTATCGATCTTCTTCTGCTATCGTTACAGCTTGTCGCAGAAAAAGAAAGGCAGATTCTCGCCATAAAGATGTAACCTCAGCCCCCACTCCAGGTCAACTAGCTCCAGTTGTCCCTGCCGTTCTTGATACTATGCGGGTATCACGATCACCCAACGCCATCATTGGATCCGACACTCCCAGCTTGGATCCATCCCATACTATAGCTATACCGAGCAATGAGAATACTACATTTAAGCATCCACCGTTGGAGCGACCTCGATCGCCACAACCCAATCAGCCGCAGGTTTTAAACAACACAGAGAGACTTTCTCGCAACAGTCCTCCACCATTGAATGAGGGCGAAGAAGCAATGAATCAAAATCCACCGACTGCTGTTGCTTCCGAATGCGCTTCTGAACAGATGGTGTTTTCAACACCTCCTGAGAATGTCGATAATACTTCCACATTGGGCACTAGATGCCATCGAGTTGAAATCACGCCAAACCCTCCAGCTAGGTTTAGAGCAATTAATGGCTGTAACGTCCATCCCATTGAACCGAACATAAGCGAAATGACTCCGCTCGCTCAGATGGGAACCAATGAGCGAGACGCTCTACCTCAAACATCGAAAGAAAATATTGCCGAGCAAAAAAGGAATGATCAAAATGTGTCGTCACAGAAAATAAGGTCCCAGAGTAAGCTCATCCCTTCTAATGCGGTGTTCGCCAAAGTCATTAGGTCCTTTGAAGCATGTCGGATCCATATGTATTACCTAACCTTTCTTCTCCTCCTTTCTTCCTTTACCCGTTCATGCTTCCCGCACTGACTGTTTTCATTTGGTGCATCTGCAGGTGGAAGAGGATGCCCCAACCAGCCTACCCTCGAGAACGTGCAGACAGGTTCACATTACTCAGGGTTGTCCACCGGAACACCCGAAGGAGCTGGGGACCAACCGTCAGATTCTACTGGTATTTCGGACGCCAACATTCCACAACTGGAAATGCGCCCAAATTTGCAGAATACGTCGCAGCCTCAAATACGAGATATCAATATCCCACCCACAAACATTCCCCAGCCCAGTTACACACTAATCCCAAATTGCCCGTCCAACTCCAAAGTTTCATACTCTGGACCATCCCATTACTACACGCCCAATTCCCAATCTGGGGTTTCCCAATCTATCGGTGCATCAGGGATGGCTCACACAGGCGGTTCGTTCATACTCTATACTCGTGATTCCATGCAGTCCTGACATGAAGTTTGAGGCAGATTTTCCATTATCGGACCCAACCTTCCTGACCAGCCCTACCAGTCTTCCTCCCTATCCCCTTCACCAGCTGCAGGGGCACGGAGCCGAGCGGTACCAGGGCCATCCGCTCCCATCCTTGACGCAGCAAATGTATCACCATCGTGCGGGAGAGCCTCTTTATAGACAGCCGCCTCACCACCTGTTGTCTGGCCCCCATACCTCCTCGATTATCACAACTGGCCAAACATCCTCTACCTCAGTAATAGGGCTTCACCCTAACTAGACATGGCATGGTTTGGGCGATGTCAGCTTTCAGATCTCTCTGTCATGATCGTCGTCTTGCCTAAATCTCCAATCTCAATGTATACGCATCAAATTTGGGTTCTCCTCCTTCTTCCTTTCTCTTGTACTTGCTTTCTTTATCCTGCTACTGCCACTCTATTTATCCTTTGGCCAATTCAGAAAACTCTAGTCGGTATCGTATCACACCAAATAGAACACAGAACACAGTGACAGGTAGGTACTTCTGTCTGCATCTGCAAACTGGGCGTCAATTAAAAAACCGGCTTATATTTTATAGCCTGAATTCTGAACTCCGTGCCAAAGGGTTTATACTGATTTCGCGAATCGTGGATTTTGTTGCTCTAAATATTGAAGATAAGCCCATATCTGCCGAAACAAAACAGCCCTGATTGATCTCGCAGGGCAGCGTGACGAGACCCGAATTCTACAGTCGCTGAGCGTCATACATGATTCCATGGCACACCTCCCTTCCAGCTTTGAAAAGCAAGCCGCGTAGATGGCTTGGAGATAGATAGCGGACATTGAAAACGTGGAATGCTTGGGGTGTCTATCCGAACGAACAAAATCGGCGGACACACTCGCGTTTTTGACCCAGGTGGCATGGATAATATAGGGCTTCGAGTGGCCTTTGCAAGTTGAATGGAAAGTTGATATAAATATAAGAAAGCTATGAGGACGACACGCATCATCATCCTGATGGTTCATAGAGAGTACGCCGTTAAGTTGTATTCATTTTCATATCTCAAGCAACCAGCCAGTCCTGCATCAGGAACTATGAGGTGACGAAGGAGTGGCGAGGCAGGAGGGGCGGATGTGACTCCGTTGTGAGGGTGGATCGCAAGATGTAGAGAGTGCAGCCTCAGCCGTGACCGTAAGTTTCTTTCTGGCAACGATTGTGGTTGTTTTGGAAGAGGCAAACGCTAGATGACGATATGTGAGGCTAAACGCCAAAAATGAGGGCGGATGGAAAGTGCGTTTCGTGCCAACAGCCCTCAGCTTCAGTAGTAACCAACAATGGCGAGTCTTGCATGACAAAAGAGACCGTACAAGTAAAACATTAAAGACATCGATCTTTACTCGATGGCGACTATGAATACGTTGAGACACCCTCATTTAAACGACCCTTAGTCAATCGATTCCCCGCTGAGCGCCCAACTTCATTCAACCCCTCATATTAAAATGTGCCCCAGTTCACCACCACTCGTTTAAATACCGCAAGTTCTACCCCATGCCCTTCATATATGAACATTGGCACGTCCTATGTGGACATTGTCCCCATCGAATTTTGGTGATTAAGTCTTCAACGGTCAAGAACTTATACCCATAACAAGGACAGCCGAGTGCGCGTCGAGGCTTCCTTGGATTGCTCTCCATGCGCCTTTTCATTTCACTTATTGGGAATACACTGTCAACCTTGTTTCCGACCATCCTCTTTCTCCTGGTCTTTTTTTGGCCCATTCACTTAAATGAATATGTTATATCCAGAAAACTTATACCTTGGCGTAATAAAATGTGACAATGAACAAAATCATTCCCATCAGTGAGATCGGCATGCAGCCATTGTGAATCCTCGGGCACCGAGTCAGTTATCCAATGAAAGGTGCATACAATTGGACTCCACAATGGCCCTGCACTAGCATCAATCCGCTCCAGGCGAACGCAAATAACACACGTTTTACGCTGACCATTGCTACGTGATGTACGATTTCTTCTCTTTTCCCTCCTCCCCCTTTTCTCCAGGCCATGCCACTTAACTAAATGAACATCAACTCGCTGTCGAACTGTCCGGCAAATACCTACCGCCAAGACCCACGACTCGAAAGCTTCCTCACATGGTCCTGAATACGCGTATACACACACAGCTACAATTCAACCCAGCAGCCAATTTAATCCACTGGCCTCCAACTATAGTAGTAAAAGAATAAAGTGAATTGTTTACACTCGATCACACATTTACTATACCCCAATTGCCTTGCATACAACCTGCTGGATTGTGCAGAACCAATTTAAATTCATGACACGTATGACTTAGTCTCATAGTTAGCTAGACAAAGTGATAACGCCAGACTTGTAGTTAAACTTCAGGGTTATATCTAGGAACATTGGTTCAAATTTGGCAAATGTTACAGTGAAACCGAATTGAGGCTTAATGGATCAGTGTTGAAGGAGTTGCTCGTGATGGTACCCCATTAATTATCCCGTTCGACAACGATCCAGTGTCCGCGGGGAATAATATTCCATATCTCGACTAGCTAGTCAGTCCTCTCTTTAGGATTCTGTGTATTCACATCGCCGTTTCGGAGGCTCTCCTTGTTGAAAAAAAAAAGGCGGAGGGTTTCCTTTTTCCTTTTAAGCATCACATGTCCATCTTGGGCTTTCCCCTTCTCGTATGGGCTAAAAAGACAGATCTCTTTTTCATTGAAAAAGCCCCAATCTAGATGTTCATCCGACAAAACGATCGGAACTTCTTTGGAAAGCTCCACGATGAATGTGTAACTAGCCATTCGTGACTCTTTGTGCCAGAAAGTGGTCCTGTACACAAGCGGGAAGATGAAGTTGGACGATATTTCCAAGCTGGCCTCCTCCTTGGTCTCACGTAGAGCAGTCTGCAAGATGGAGACGTCTTTGCCAGTTTCGTACCCTCCCCCAGGTACCTCCCAGCTTCCGCCCCAGGAGCCCTCATATCCACGCTGGATTAGCAGAACCTCGGGCTGGGACGGGGTTTCTGAATTTTGGCGGAAAGCGATGACGCTAGCTGTAAAGCGGTTGGTGTCGGGATTCTTTTCTTGGAGAACAGACATAGGGATATTGACATCCTGGAGCCTCAGCAGGATGGGCTCTGTAGTGGAGTCATTGAAGGAGGATTCCATGGCCGAGGTGGTTTAGGAAAAATAATAGTGACTTGAAGAGAGGATGCAGTATCAGCTGGCCTGGGAGCCCTGCCGTCTTATATAGATTGGTAAAGCACAGTATATTTGATTTTCCTTCCATTTAATCGAGCAGAAAGGTCTGGACCTGGGTGGATGTAGACACCGCTCTTCCACCATTTCAGTCGTGGCGTTCTATCTCAGTGTCAACGCGGATGTCATCCGATTCGCTCCATTAAATATAATTAACACACTGCCATGACTCATAGTATAGAAACCCTGGCATTAGACTAGGAATTTACGGGGATTACTGCTGGACTATAATTTCCGGTTTGTTGGCATCCTCGTATTGCCTGTTGCAAGCTATATGAAAGCCTAGACCAGTGGGGCAGCCAATATGGTCCAGTCCACTCTGTCTCCATGGCTGAGATTGAGATTTTCCCTTCGCAGCAGGATATAATTCTCCTGGTTCTATGCCAGACAAAACTACTCGAGCAACAGTAAAACTGTAGCGGAACCGGTATGGCGACTAAGATGCCCGATACACATTTCTGGCATTTGTTTCTACTCTCTCACAAGTCTGGTTCCGGCACGCATCAGACTCGAATGCAACTATTCGTCATACTATAAGGGATGACAAAAGACGATCTGGCACTTTCAAACTTATGATCCCCTCATAATGGACCAGCCGGTTCACAACTCCTTTGCGTTTATCTTGGCTCTCAGAGCGCAAAATTACACCGGATTATGGGGCAGTTGTAAGCGGATCGGCCTAAGCTCGTACCTTGGTTATCAATACCATGCTAACGATACAAACACCCGCCCCTTTTTGTTGATTTAGGTCAACTGACTCCTCTTTTCTAGGCTGATGGCATTGGGGCCAAAAGTTGGCTCCTGGGAGCAAAGCCGTGGGCATAAAGTCTACCAAGGTGGAGCTTTTCCAGTGGCGTCATGCGGCTGACCTCCACTGTCCAGGGCCTAAGTTCTCTCTAGATTTACTTCAGGGGATAGGCCTGCATCCTACTGCAGTAGTACCAGCCCAATCCGTATTAATGTTGCGGACGCCCCTTGTATAAGTTGTATAATTTCTGTACACTGGGTGGTCTCTTATCATCCCTCCTTTTCTCTTTTGGGCTTCTTGATCATGCTAAAAAATATGGCTCTCAAAGAATCATTAGTGGGACAGCCATCAATACCACATAATCCAATGAGCATTGGTTCGCTGTTGACCGATCCGGAAATTTGCTGACCCTAGCACCCGAGACCCTACTCGAAGAAAACGGCCCAAGGCCTCGAATCGGAATCCACAGTCCAGCCCGGTAGCAGCCATTTTAAGAGCCCATGTTCGCAGGATGACAAGCAGGTGAATTTTTCGGACCTGCCACATATTTCTTCAATCACTGCGAAACAGACCAGTTCCAAACGTCGCGTAACCAGAAGCAATCACAATCGCCTAAGATACGACGAGGAGGAGATCTGGTTTGTCTGGTACAAACGCGTTGCTCTCAGGCAACAATGGGACGATATCCTTGAGAGACTTAACCGCCAATTCCCGAACCGCCGACGTCTTGGTACCCAAGGAATAGAATGCATGTGTTATCGAGGGATCAAGGAGAAAAGTCTACCCTATCTCCCAGGGCAGGACCACTTCTGTGAGTCTGAAGCTGAGCGAGACATTTTCCATATAAGCAAGGTCGAATCTATCATTCGTCGCGCGAATTTGTCGTACCCGTGGATGCTGGAAGCTTTTAAAACAGCATGTTCCCAACCCAAAGATTACGATGATTCTGAACAGACTTGCTTATTTGGATCACGATTGTTTACTCTTTGAGAATACGGAAATCCGAAGACACCTTGTTCAACAAATCAATAGCTGTGATACTCATACATTCAGCCGCCTTCATCTAATCTGCGTAGGCTCAAAACATGCTGAATGATAAAAATTGGTCACTGTGCCGGAAAATCATCATACTTGAATTGGTAAACAGTTGATTATGTGTTATCTCAATTATCCATGGTACATACGAGAGTGGCATAGTATAGTATTGATGTGGACTCTACATATTCTTGTCAAATGCCGACTGGGAATAAAAACTTTGGACTTCCAAGGGCAACTTGTGAGGTTATATATCATTCATGACCTTGTGTCTAGAAACTGTGTTTCCGTCATTTTTGCTCATCAGGACAAAGACCCTAGTACGTTGACGCTTTCAATGTCCACCGCCCATCTTTGTACCGTCTCTAGGGCTTGCCTTTCAAAAATGGAAGGGTGCTTCACCATATAATCCTGCATAATGCTCAACGACTGTAGAACTTGGGTCTTTTGAAGATGCTCTGCGAATCCAATAAAATCTGCTTCTATGGGATATTGATCTTGGCTTAGCTCAACGGATTTATTCGGAAATGGAAACTGGATAGCTGGCAAAAAAAGGGAGCAGTGCACGTCGTGATAAGTTGGCCAGCCAGTGACAAGCGCTTCGGAAGCATCACTGGGCAGAGGTGGCGGTCGATCCCCCGCTGGGCTTGCAAGGTCGGTTGAAGGTGAAAATGGACAAGGTACGAAGCGTTCTTGACTATTCGAGCACAGGTCAGAATCCGCATATTGGCTGAATGGTACGCCTTTTGATCTGAATGTTTATGGTCCTTGAGTCAGCCTTGGGATTCGTGGAAGTATCAATAAATTAGGCAATCCAAACCTCTCGCTCCTGGGTCTAGACAAAGAGACCTTGTTGACATCCGCCTCGAGTTGGACTGACTTTGACTCGCCACTTCTCTCTTGTGGCCGCCGTGGGCGATTCCGGCGCGTTTTACTCCTTCGACGCCTCCGAGGCTTGACTTTCAGCTTGTCATCGAGCTTTTCGGCGTCGGGGCCGCATTCACTGGGCCGAGGTTGGATAGCGCGATACTTGGGGGGCGTGGTTATGGGAGATGGAGAGAGCGCAAGTGGTGCTGCCAAAAAGGGTGCTGGCGGAGGTTGTTCGTAGACGACGCCGTAGTTTTGAGAGCCAGCCTCAAAAGATCTGTCGCCCATTCCTATAGGATACCCCGAAGGATATTGTGGTAAAGTATATGAGTCCGGGCAACGGTAACTCATGGTTAAAAGAGAACTGAGCTCGGGTGCCCCTGTTGATACGGAGTGGGGGCTCCTTCAATAGACGCACGAGCTTCTCCAAGTATATGGGCGAAGAACGAGCTACTTCAGGGTAGTTCTCAACTATGAACGGTATATATAATGGTGGGAGAATGAAAATGATGGTTGCACATTGCTGGGGAGTAGGATAGGTCTCTATTATCAAGGATTTGGGGAGGGGGATAGTGCTTTTTTCTCGCTCTCGCGGCACTGTACTAGTGAGGGTTCTAACCACACGCCCTTTTATGCGAGTATCCGAGCATTTCTATTGGAAGATAGCGTAGACGAATCATCTTGGCCTTGCCTAAGATAATTGGTTCAAGCTAGCCGCAAATTGCATCTGTGCCGTGGTCTGAACATTGGCTTATGTTGTCGGTTGCATGAAGCAGGTCTTTTCAATGGCCGAACCTCGTTACCAGGGGCCCACGCAGCAATTATACAGGCCGTTCTGCATTTGTTTCCACGTACAGCGGCATGGTACGCTTGTGTATGGTAGGCGCTTTCATCCGGGGACCCACGGAGCATTATTATTGAAATTTGAGAGCGAATAAAGTACGAAGCCATACCTAGGCATTACTAGGGATAATATGTCATAAGGCCGTCAGTCGATACATTCCCCCTCACATTCTGATCTCTCTTCATCGTCTCCTTTCCCTAGTGGTAATCTCGAGGAAACCTGTTCCTCAAGCACACTCGATTTTCCAATATTCAGTCTTCCTTGAAGAGATCTACTTTCAGAATGACCATTACATGGCTGGAAAGCGGGCTTCGGAGGATGCAAAATCCCAAGACAATCCCGATTCAGGTAACACCTCGACAGCGGTGAATGGGAGTATCCAGCCACGTCTGGAGAAAAATGCTATGGTATCATACCCTCGTGCTTAGTTTCCTGAAGATCCTGTTGCCTTTTTGCTAATAAGTCTACAAGGTTCATCCCACATCCCCTCAGGTCGATCCCAAGCCAATTTCGAATTTCATCAAGGAGGATTCTGGGGGTCAGGTACGTTTGGCCATAAAATTCCAGCGAGAGCCCTTCCATTTCAAAATGGCCTGTTGCTAACCATCATTTGTTTACACGTGACCCGCAGCCCACCCAGGACGAAGAAGACCCATTCAGTCAACTTCTTTCCGATTCCGACGAACTGAGACACTCAGGTACCCATGACGCGCCTTCTGAATACGTGTCTTGGATATTGATTTGCACTAGACATCATCGGCTGTCGCGGAAGGAGCAATGGTATCAATCACAGGCTTCAGACGAAGTATACCTTCAAAGACTGCACATTTGATGGAACAAGCATGTTATTCATCGGAAGTGCAAGATCTACTAGTAAAACAGTCATCTTCCGTGATTCAAACAGTGGTCAAGCTTCTTTTGTCAATGGTGACATGGGTAAAGATAAGTTCTTGAGAGAGTTTTGTGAAAAGAAAACGTAAGCTTAATGAACAATCAAATTTCACGCAGCTGCTTTTGTCTTGCTTTGATTTATCTTATAGTTAGCCTGCAGTTCCCCAGACATATATCAGAATGAGGGAATTACATCCAAGATCCTCGTCAACGTTTGAGACTACATATTTCTCAAGGCAGACTCGTTTTACACGTTACAGATAGACAGGAAGCATTCCATTGAGAGGTTAAACATGGGAGAACACGTATAGACAGGAGCCTTCAGTAAAACATCGAAATGAGCGCCGTAAATTGGCTACTGATAGAACTCTGTCCAAATTTCAATTTCACGCAGGAGTAAACGAGCTTCAACGTTCTTTCTGTTAGTGGTTTTGATACCAACAAGGCGTAGTGCTTCCAGAAGCCGTTTGAAAGGGATATCCACTCCATGGTTTCCGCGCAATACATGATAGAGAACGTCTCGCGTATCTTCAATGGTCAGTCTGGGTAAATGATGATGGATCTTGGAAGCACAAACCAGGACGCGTCAGTTTCTTCGAATAAGTATTTTGGATTCCAAACAAGACCTCTGGGCTCAGAGCTCCCCTCCATAAATGCAAAATAGCTTCACACGCTTGCAGGTCTAATTCTTCGAAGGCAGATCTATAGAAGTTCTCCAGGCGAGCTGCGTCGCAACGTTTGAGATTCGACAGTGTATTTTCCAGGATTGGATGGTTCTTAGTCACAAATTGATCAATCAATGAGAAGTCAGGCTCATTAGAAAAGATCTTTTTGCAATGGGTAGAAAACAGCGGGCTCCTAGTTGAGAGAGACCATCGTGCAGTATTGTCGTTCATAGGGAGGGTGCTGAATCGAAGGGGCACACAACCGTTGGGCTCATTATGCCTTTGTCTCCTATACAATCTCGTATATCAGCAATCAAGCATGGGAATAATATTTGCCTCACTTCAAGCTCTGGGGCATAGCTTGCCTTGACTTGGGCCTTTCCATCCCTAGGAATGACTTCTGCATACTGCCAAATGTTGCTTCCTGGCCGTGGAACCCAATGGTACGATTGACGAGGGCATATTCGTCAAATTCCTGGAAACTTATTGCTTTGTCATGGGAATGAGAAACGACATTTTCTTCCGCCTGGGGCGAGGCTGGCTGTGATTTACTGGAGTTGGCCTGCGGGTACTGAACAGAGAATTCCTCGGCCATACCCTCTTCTTTTTGCTAATTAGCACTATTTATAACCTCGTGGATTGGCTTTAAGGACTCTGGACACCAGGCAGTGGTGGATTACCTGTTTCGAAGGGATGTTTGTTGATACTCCCACTGAGTGGATATGACTGGGGACTTGGCTCCGGAGTGCTGAAAGGTTGGAAATGCAAATGTGGAGGCCAGTGGCCATTGTTGTTTGCCATGGTCCTAACAAAATTGAAGTTGAGCTGTTTCCGGGGCAGACTGTGAACGAAGAGAGTCGGTCTTACCAGATCGAAGATTATGGACGCAGCGCGGATGGGCGGGGGTTATATACGTTGTGAAGGGGAATGACCCTCCCTCCTTGCTTATGAGAGCTTTTCACGCTTCGCCGTGTTGCGCGGGGAAACTTGTGATGCATGCCGTCGCCCTGAATGGCTAGCCGGTTCTGGGGCGCTTATTGATTTGGAACTCTCATGAGAGTATTTGGGCAGAATCCACAAAAAGACCAGGGGCGCTGTTACAAGGATGTTTATACAAGGGATCGGTGGGATTGGCTGCTAAGACACTTCGCTATAGCGAGTATGGAGCATAAGTAGGGCACGTCCGTCTCGATACAAGCGCAGTCAAAATATGAAAATTACCATTCAATTGAAAGGTGTTGTAATATTGACACCCGTGCGCCGAGGAATTTGGCTCCCACTCCAAAACCTGGGATATACAAAGAGACATCCCCTGCAACTTGATTGTCCCTTCAATTGTGCATACACCTGCTCAGTCCTCCCCCTCTGCATTTATCATAGAGAAAGACGACATTAATATGGTAAGGGCAAATGTGTTCGCTTCTGTTCCCATACTAAGATTGATTATACAGATTCCCGAAGCCGACCTCAAGATATCAGCCCAAACATCATTAACAGCTTTGCAAATTTGGTGGCTGGGTACCCCAGACCTGGCAGGCGCAATTGAGTGGCGACACAAACTCGATACTGAGATTGTATCACTACAGCGTCTCAGGAAGAATGGATACAGAAAGGGACGGATCCGTCTAGCCCAGAACAGCATTTTAAATCGGCATGTGCAAGCCATGGTGGAAGACCTCACCGAAGACTCGCTCAAAATATTTGCCATTCTCACCTGGCACTTCAACGCAGACTTTAGAGTGCCTTTCCCCCGTCAGCTTCTTCGGTTCTTCGATACCCCCTGGGAGCTTATCGGCGATGTTTGCATTGACATCCACAAATACACGACAATGGCCAAATCGGAGTCAATAATGAGCTTTAAGAGAAATTTATCAAGCTGCTAGGACTTGTGGAATATTATCTGGTTGAGGGGAAATGGGCCTTGTGTATTTAAACCATCGGATTGTGCTGTTATTGTTGCAACAATCCACCAGGAGCTAGCTACTCTACTCAACGGATAGTCTTTTTCTACCAGATTGAATGGACCAACCTGAATGCTGCTCTACGTTTGCCGCCACAACTGAAATTACACCATTACCTGCCTTGGCTGCCTCCAGGAACTTAAAACATGCAGATAACAAAAGAATCATGTCTCTATACCAAAGCCTCGTTAATGCTGTGAGCACGCTCAATCCATATGTCAATCCTTGAATCATCTGTCAATGGAGTAAAATTCTGAATATTCCTTGAGACTGGGGCAACTATACAGGGCGAAATATCGAGCACAAATCTTCAAGTGAACCTATCCAAGAGACTCTCGGCCGGAAATCAGAAAAGGAGAACTCAGCCCTCCACGCTCCAATAACCAGATCAGAGTCGACAACAGGCTGAACCACCTCCAGAATGCCTCTTTCGGCGAGGACAGCCCCCTCCGTGTCCCTGGTTATTGCGGTATAGCCGCGCATGTGATAGAATATATCACAACGAATAAGCACTTCTCTTTTGACCGCCAGAGTAATATGAATGAGACGACCCATATCAGTGGCCTTGGGCCCCTCATCTTGAAGATGGTCATACAAAAATTGCCGAAAAAGCTGACCCAATCCGCCGTTCATTGCATAGTAGGTCGAATTTTCCATCATGACTAGGTAAATGCAGGCAGGTGAGAGTGCGTCGGTTTGAAGTTGGCCATATCTCTCTCTGCATGCTGCCAGGATACTGAGGTGAGGTGTCATAGAATGCCCTTTTGGGTCGTTTAAGACTATGGCTTCAGGCCTATCAGTATCGAAGTTGACCGGATGATACGTTTACTCACTATGAGAGAACGGTTGAAAGAGTGGTCGGAAGTCCATTGCGGGTGGCTGAAAGGGTAGCAGTCAAAAGAATGGACCGAACTGTGCGCGGACCTTGAAGAGCTGAAGCTTGGGGAACGTCCTGGCATAAATTCAATATCCTTTCTAAGCAATACCCATTCTCGGGTACTCCGAAAATTCCCATGTGCAGGGAACTCTGGTACGAAAAGTCATTTCTTGGTAACTCATTAAGTACGCCGCATTTGAGGGGTAGCCTTAAAATGGCGCCAAACCCATGCAATGGATAAAATTATCCCTACAAGTGAGATCAGCATGCAGCGGTTGTTAGTTCTCAGACACTCAGTCAGTTATCCAATGAAAGGTGCATCTGATCGGACTCCACAATGGCCCTGCTAATCAGCTGCAGGCGAACACAGATAACACGGTATGAAGGGCTAGAGGCGTTCCCGCTGTGCAATGGCGCTAAGTCTACGCCACTTTCAGTAAGACAGAAATTTCGAGCTTTGAAAGGCTTTTGTATTTGTATTGGGGGAAGTGGGCCAAAATACTTGTCTTAATAGGTCAGGACAGCCTCGAAGATAGTGCTATTAGAAGACCCCTGTCGCGTCCGGGAAATACTCTCTCCTTGTTCGTCCGGGTTTTGGATCAAGGGTCCCGGGAGCATCTCAAGCATAAGATAAATACTCGACCGCTCCACCTTCCCGGAACCATGATTCAATCTTTCAGCAGAATCCATTCTGGATACCTGCTACCATGTCGTTGGATGAGGACTTCTGTGTAAGACAATCCATTCTAGGTTTCCCTGCAGTCATATGCTAATTGATGAAGTTTCCTTTCCCAAGAATCAGTCTCCGAGCCGCCGAAACGACTTTAATTGTTCAACAAGTGTGGCTTCTGGGCACAAGAGATGTCAAACGAGCAATAAAGCGGCAGCACAAACCCAATGCTAGAACTGCATCCCTGGTCTCCACCTGCCAGGCCCTCAGAAAATATCGCTACTGGCCCCTGAGGAAACGCAAAGCCTTGGCCAAGAACAATATACTGAAGAACTATGCGCACTGTATGGCAAGCAAGCTCACTGCTCGTGCTTTGGCTATGCTTTCCCTTCTTGCCTGGCATTTTGACTCGAAAATGGTGCCTCTCCCCCGGAGGCTTCTCATATTCTTCGCCGACCCCTACAAAAAGTTTGACACAGTGTGCCGATCTATCCACCTCAGCTACACGAAGATGTATGGACCGGATACGTTGGTAAACTTCTCGAGAAGATTGAGGAAACTGTTAGGGCTATTGGAATGGCACGTGATCAAAGGCGACGCGGTCTTGTATACATAGATTTGACCCTCTGTTGAGATCTTGCCACATCATACTAGTCAATGAGGAATAAAAAAGACAGTAGATACACGCCGAGCTTCAATGCAATCATCTGCCTCAACGCCAACTTCAATCACTGAATGTTATACCACACTTCCAACTACTTTCCTTTGCTCTTCTCCCGAACTATACCTCTCAAAGTTTGTTGTGGGATGTACGAGCGGAAATTGAGGTTGAAACTTTTCCTGCCGCTGCCTATTGTGCTGTTAGTTTGTCATCCGTCGACGAATTTTCTCTGCAACATACTTATCTCACTCAATGGGATCTATATCTTAATCACGGCCAACAGCATTGCATCGGTTACTTCTCTTCCTGGGACTGTTTCATCGTCAGTCTCAATACATTAAGCCTGTGTTTGCGTGAAAAGACTCACGGCAATTGTCAAGTACAAACTCAACAGAGAAACATTTGTTGTAATGGCGGCGTCCTGGGCGTCCTGGATCATCTTCCAAGGGAAGATCAGTCTGATTTATCGGGAATCCAATGGCAACCCGGTAGCATTGAAGAAATTCCGGAAAATCTTTCTTCGTTATCAGACCAAGACCTCTGTGGATATCGTCCCCTTCATTCCCTTCACCTTCGCCTCCTTCCCCTTCCTTTCGACAATGACGGTAGCATGCATTTGGATCTGAAAAGAGCTGAAAACATCGTGGACAGATATATTCCAAGCGCGTTTTTGTCAGAGCTTGCATCAAGATTGCGAGCCGCCTTTCCACGTCAGACATCTTGAAGTAAAGTGAATAGAAAAAACCGGGAAACAAAGGCTGACAATTTGACAAAAGTCTACTCTTTATAGGCGAGGGCCGGCTCGCCAGCGCATCTTCACATATCCAAATACATTAGTAAATGCACTTGCCGAATATAACTAGCGGTGGGGGTGCAAGATAGTACTCCTGCCAATTTTTGATTAAGATTCTGATACGAAAGCCTTTGGGGTGGCACGGCCTCGACCGATTGTGGCCTTTGGTTTAATAATCGTTCCAACATAGGTACTAGTTTACAGCTGCTCTTACAACCTCGCATATCGAATACCCAAGTATTTTATTAGCCATATAATTCATATTATCTGCGTGATGGCACTATCTAAGATATAAAGCTGGGCGGGTCAGGAATAGTTGAAAGCATGATCCTCAGGCAAGGCCTCGCGAACTCCTTTGGGGGCCTCGGTTTTCAGGAGATTGCGTCCAATGGAAGATTCCATCAGCCCTGTCTGCGAGATCCAGTAGTGTTCAAACCACAATTGCTGAATAAAATAAGGTGTACTTGGAATCCACTCCTTATTCCTGATTTCGCGCTGCATGTGGTAATAAACCTTCGTATCTTTGCCATCTCCCAGTTGTTGAATTATGCGCAGATTACCGAAATCGAAGTCCGAACTAGACGGTGGTTTCTATTTATTATCCGTTAGAGCCATGGATTGGAAGATGACTTAATGCAACAGTTCCGGGACACTCACCGCAAGCTCGTCCAGTTTTTTCGCAGAAATAGATTTAACGGAAGGTCCACGATGCGGTGCTGAATACTGATACTCCGCTTCTAGATCAATGGTTATTATGTTGCAGTCCAGCATATCAAACAAGCATCCAAACCTTGAGGGCCTTCCTGTGATTGCTTCCTCGCCCTGCAGCATCCAAGGAGGAGTTCGAGAAAACGAGACCAGGGACTATTTGGTATACCCATATTTCACACAAGACGTTAGATATCGAGAGAGAAAAGATATAGATCTTCGTAGGGAGACTTTAAAAACAGCACAGCACTCAATTAAAGGATCCGCGACGTCGAGACCGTATAGAGATGCAAGGTTATATACCGCCTGAATCGTACCAATGCCGCGATACTACCCCTGTTCTCATCATTAGCTATGTTCATCCAATTCTAGAGCCGGCTCCACCATCTTGCTTGAGATACGGGGTCTGGCTGATCAGAGAATTGCTTTTGCGAAGGGAGGTCAAAGCGAAGTTTGAGACAGATTATATGATGCACATAGGAAGTCTAGACTTGAGAGATTACACTGCCTTATTGGCGATCCTTGCGCGATTGTGATTAGAAGATCTTATATAGATCAGGTTAGATGCTGGTCAATATTTTTCTCGAGCCTTACAAGGGCTCTGTGAAAGCTGTCATTGGCCATATGATTTTGATTGGCTGCAAGAGGGCAAATCAGAAACAGGTCAAAGCCGATCCTTCAGCAAGAATCTTCGAACCAATTTGGAAGTCTCAGGTCCCATTGACATTAAGTTTGCCTTTACAAAGCGCAATTGGCTTGGCTTGTCCCGGTTGCGTCGATTGTATGTGATACCTCATGATTTAGGTCAACCGCACGATGTGCAATTCTAGAGCATGGAGCTGGATCGGTCAGGAACAGGTCAAAGTGTGATGATCCACTGCCATGATAACGGCCTTTTCAGCTCGATCTAGTAACTAGTAGACAGAGCTGCGTATCACATGAGCTAGCTGCTTGCTTGTAATTATCTGTCCTCCCATTCTCTCACTTGTCCTCCCATTCTCTCACTTGTCCTCCCATTTTCTCACTTGTCCTCCCATTTTCTCACGTGTAATCGCACTCCTCCTGTTTCTCACTCCTCTCATTTTCTCACTTGTCCTCCCATTCTCTCACTTGTCCTCCCATTCTCTCACTTGTCCTCCCATTCTCTCACTTGTCCTCCCATTCTCTCACTTGTCCTCCCATTTTCTCACGCGTAACCGCACTCCTCAATTTCTCATTTGTCTTATTATTAATTATATTTTCTGTAGAGTATTCTTGTGTTGAAGATATTCTATTTACTACATTAAAAGAATTTCTTTTATTCTCTAAATTTAAAAGGGAATTCAAGATATTAAAAAAGTTATTGCCTATTCTACTATGAGTCAATTAGGTATGATGGTTATAGCTATAGGTTTATCTAGTTATAATTTAGCTTTATTCCACTTAGTTAATCACGCTTTTTATAAAGCATTATTATTTCCCATTTTCTCACGCGTCCTCTCCTTTACTGACTCATACAGGTAAATACCGCCGCTTATGTAATGAGCTCTTGGCCAATGCTGGTTGCCTATGCAGTTTCGAAATAAATATTACCAAAGATCCTTTATATACAGTGTACCTATGTGAGGTGGCATTCTATGTGTTTTAGGGCGTTCTTGCTTGATTGGCTACAATGACGAGGGCTCACTGCAGACAAAAGCACAGAGTCATGCGATCGCCAATTGTCGCTGCTTCCCAGCGTCTTTGGATTCGTCGATGTAAGGTGTCTCTCCGTACTACAGGTCAGGGGGAGGTGCCAGCGGTGTGATCAACCGCATGTCTCTGGTCTCCTCTGGAACGAGACCCTTGATGTTCAAGCTCCATGCATCTCCCGCAAACTTCACTGATTCCGAGATGCGAGCTTGCTTATGCGGCAGAGAGCGAGTGGATAACATGGGCCTGAGCGACAGAGAAGAAGGCTCAATACCTAGTTTATGTGGAGGCAAATCACAAAACATGGCCACGCGGCTTAAGTATATAAGAGCTGACCTTTCCCGCTAATCTTCTTCCTTTTTGAATCATCTTCTCCAACCTCTTCCTTCCCAACAGGCTCTAGAAACCAACTACGCTTCTTTTCAACTACGCTTCTTATCAACTTCCACTCTTCCAGAAAAATGGCCGAGAAATGCGTGCAGGCCGGATGTACCCAGTGGGCTTTGAGTGGTAGCCGCTACTGTAGCAACCGTGAGCATAACTTCTGTCCCTAAGTGTCCAACTCCCTCCTGACATAAGTAAAGACAAGCCCGCTGGATCCCAGCAGAAACCTGCCATGGAATTCGAAATCAATGGGGCTCGGGTTCGGGTTCCCGATGTCGCAAGTGACAGCCAGAAGAGCAAAGCTGTCTGAAACCACTACCCGATATTGCCCTAAGGCAGGCAATCAAGCAGCCAAGAGAGAGGACAATCGCCATTCGAATCATGTATTTAGACGATTGCATCTACAAGAAATACACTGCCTGGCCATGTGGTTTACGTATCATTTCTTTGAAATAGGGTACATCGTCCTTTTCGTTGATTGTTTCGATTGGTAATATTGCGGCTAATGGTGGATCAAGCACCCTGGGATAGTATGCATTAGATTGGGTTCTCCCAAATATCACGGCCAGAACAGTAAAGTAGTTAGAATTCAGTGAAGGTTGCCTCCCCAACTCGATCTCATTGCTTCAGGTGCCTATCTGACGACTATTCTCACGCCACTGAACTAGCCCAACGAACCATAAGCGAACTGCGCGATAACTACAGCTCATTACATAAAAGGCTCGGCGAATTTTTTCCATTCGCAGACATCTTGTTGTGATGGATCGACCACTATGCACATAGATCTATTCGTAAGAAGCTTTTATTCCGATGCTAAATGGGATTGCACAAACTGTTCACTTTAAGGACTTCTCATCCCCTCGACTCCCCCTCATTTTGCTCTAATTCCAACAAGCCAAGGAGTAAATCATCACCTTCCCATTTTTTGAGAGCCTTGCTCTTCCATGCCTCCCACTCCTCGTCTTCAAAGTTGAAGGCCCGCTGGAGTCCTGCGAATATATGTGGAAGTGTCTGCATATCTATATAAGAGCTCTCAGGCCCAAGAGCGAAGAAAAATCTCTGAGCCTTTCTGCCCTCGATGACACAGGTGGCAAGATCTTCACGGCCCTTTTCGCGAAATATGGCAGCTAGCCGCAATTCATCCGCGGCTAGCTCATTAAAGCCGTCGTAGAACTCAGCCACCGGCCACATCATGCACGGGGAACAGAATGCCTCCGCCCTGGAGACAGTTTGTGTCCATTCCCAGTCTATGACTCCCACAATATCGAAACAGTCATTAACCAGAATATGGTCACCCTTATCGTCGGGGTGCTTGAGAAAGAACTGGTCGCCTGGTGGGACGTCTTTGAAGAGAGCACCAACAATATCCTGGCGAAATCGATGGACAAGATAGGTGTCTACCGGATAGCAGGGGTCAATCTCGCCGCTGGCTATCATTGCGAGGTAGGACTTGAGGATAACCTCACAGCCCTCGACCGAGGAGGAGAATGGACCGAGTGGCCCCTTTCCTACACGGAACGTTGATTGGTGTGCGAGACCTTGAACGTTTATAACATCCGCCGCCGAAGAGACAAGTGATCCCATCGCTTCGAAAGGATGCCTCTCAATCTCGAGGGAAATGTCAACCAACTGCTGCATGACCTTCTCTTTCTGCTGAGGAGTCGCCGCCTGCCAATCCAAAGACTTTCCGTCCAGCTTTTCCATCAAAATATAGCCAACTCCAAGTGGGTTTCCTGGATCGGATTCGCATGCCCAATCGAAGATTTTGGGCGTGGGAATGCAAGTGTACCGTTGGAGGTAAGTCATGGTGGCAGATTCGCTTCGAAGTATCCAATCACGGACTTCCCGCGGCGGTGATGAGGTTCTTGCAAGGCGAAAACGTGCGAGCCATTTGACATTATCATCGAACGTGATCTCGGCGTGGCAGTTCTGGTTTCCCATCATGGCAGACAAGCTTTTGCGAGACAAGTCAACGGTACACGAGATGCCTTCTCTGAGCATCGATGCACGGAAACATAATTTAGAGCCATCTATTCGAAGGCATAGCTCGTCTATGTCACGAGCCTCTGTAGCTGCATATTGAGCAGAGTAGGATTCCCAGTTTTCCTAATAGATGGGCATGAGCATTGCTATTATGGCTGATGTTTGAGCAGGTGTATCACAGACCTCTGGTTTCGGGCATTTGTGCCACGGCTCTTGACGGTGCGTGCGACAGAAGTGTCTATCGCACAGCAAGCAATCTCCTGCTCTCTGCGCGGCTGGTTTCCCACAACTCCCCCATTCGCATGACCAGTGGGGCATTACGGAAAGGTTGGTTTATTAAGGTGTCTTACCGGGGAGCTCTGGAGTGGCAATGAACGAATTTTGTGACCAAGGTGCTGAAGTAAAAGAAACGGAGCACAAAGACAACCAATCCGCGTCGTATTAATTTTCCCCGTCAGGCGGTGCGGGAAAATGGTAAGTCCGAGAGTTTCACCCACCCTACGGTGCATTCTTCAGCAACAGTAAAGCCCCAGCCTCCTTTTCTTGGAGGGGGCGAGAATTGCCTGGGCTGCCCATGAGCTCCAGGTTATGCTTCATCTGGCCCCATTACTGCGGAGCTAGGATATCGTTGAATTGTTCACATGGCCAATGTTGCCAGGAGGACAGTTCCTGAAGGTTGTTTAAGATAGTATCATAAGTGGGGATGCCAAAGTGGATCCATTCTAGGGGCCAATCGTATGAAGTTTCAAACAAGCTGTTAACAGTTGGCGGGCCAGAAGGTGTGGGGTGAGAAGTAACCACCTTATTGAGACTACTTTGTTGGCCCCAAATTGTTTTTGTCCATCATTATTCATTCGCCAACTGAATATCCTTTATCTTATGGTAGCTCTCAGAATTGCACATTTGTTATGGTCATGTCATTTCTTTTCCATCTTAAACGCGGAAATTAATTATTCGGGTAACCTGATTGTTTATGATCAGAGGCAGATCTTGCAAGTCCTTCAATGCCCTTGAGCTGGTCAGGGCTGTTTGATTAAACAATGCCAATGACGTAAAGTTATTAGTGGACAACCCCAAAACTCCCTTTCGGTGCTTTTTTTTTTTTTTTTTTTTTTTTTTTGCTAGCGACCTGTTCCTGGGAGCGCCGCTCACCAACCAGAAACTTTAAATTCAATGTCGCTGTTATAGGACGTTTTCGTGGTTTTGGCGGGCGCCACAATCAACTGTCTAGGTCTCTGTGATCGTTCTCGACAAAAAGGACAGCCTTCTTCGATTTAAAATTTGACCAGTAGCTTTCCAATCAATTCTCACCAATGAGCCGCTATACCGGGATTGGCTACTCGGGCTGGAGGAATTTAGTACAGCGCTTAAGCTTAACAAATCAGATGCGCGCGCAGGTCTGAGTCCGTTTCACTACTATTATGCAAGGCTCAACTGCCAAGGGTCTGAGCACCGACTAGCCTAACAGCCCCCATCCAATCAGACTTACACTGACGTGGCAGCAATGTTCCTTCGAACCACATTGTTAGTCACATATTGTTTCTACACAGGCTACCTCTCTAATCCTCATCTGTCCTCACACTTTCTCATCTGCCCTCCCACTTTCTCATCTCTCCTTCGACTTTCTCATCTCCCCTTCCACTTTCTCATCTTCCCTTCCACTTTCTCATCTCTTCTCCCTCGATGCGTTTAGAGGATGATTTTCTACGGCGAATACAAGTCACACATCAACTTCTAGAGTCAGGTATCCCTGGCCTGGATGATGATCAAAGCAAAAATGTGTTAGCATATTGCAAGCTATTTCTTGACACTGAGTTCGTTTCCATTTCAAGCGCATCCTATTATAGGAAAACGAAAGTGCGAAAGTTTCTTCGGAAAGTGAACATCCAGCTTGGGCAAGCAATGCTCGTGCTCTGCATGTTATCCAACCCTTATACCAAGCTATGTCTGGTTAATCTGGAGATTATCTTTCCAGAACTTCAGATGTGGACCAAGAAGAATCCAGGGAACAAAGAGCTAAATGATTTAGCAAAGAAGGTATACGAGCAGTATGGAATGAAAAAACTATTGGACAGTACTGCTTCTCTTCCAAGTATGACTCGCATCATTAATTGTCCTTGAAACCCGGCTGATAATTACAGGTCCCCCACAAAAGAAACGCAAGCGTTCTGCAGACCGGCTGCCTTATGAGAGTGCATCCAATGTCTCTCCTCATATTGAAAGGGAAGATCCAGGAGGACACGCTCCAGATAATACGTCTCCCGCAGTTCCAAGCGACCCAACACGTACGTGCTCTTGTGCTACTTTCACGGGCTTAATCTAACGATATAGAAGACAATGAAGAAATCCAATCACTTGGCCAGATACACAATAATGTCGCATTCAAAATAGATGACATGCCAGGCTTGCAACTATACATTCTCAAAAGTCATTTGCCTCAGTCCATAGTCGACATTGGCATTGATCAACTCGTCAGCTGGGTCCAGCAATATCAATCAACTTCTGCCGATCCTCTTCAATTCGAAAATATTGTGGGCATCCTCCAAGACTATCAATCAAGACGTCCGAGTTTGCTTTGTGTCCAGCTTATCATTCCATGGTACGGGCCATCAGCACCATATATTGACATCAACATTGATTCCAATATGGGATGGAGTGCAAAAATCCAGCTTTCCCTCACACTAGCATATGATTTGAGTCAATTCGTTTGTGGTTCATGGGTTTCGACGACGGAAACAGCGAACGGAAGGTTGGCCTAATAGTATGATCTTTTCCCCGGGTTTTGCAGCAACAAGTACTATCCCATTCACTTTGTCCGTCAATATGTATCTGGGAGGCTCTCCTTCCACCCTAGCAACGCCACCCGGTTTGTTTTGTTTGTTTTGGTTGTTTTGTTTTCGTAGTAACACGGCGCATACGTTTTCCGAAAACTGTATCTTCTCGACGTCGGTCCACTGCGAGTCTAATTCCACATCCTGCCCTGTCTAGAATTATCAGTAAAGACTGCTGCAAATAGCTATGAGTATTTATGATCTACCTCCTGTTTTGCTTTCGCTTCGAGCTTGATACGGTCGTCAATGATGTCATTGACAGGTATGCCGAAGTCTTCGATTTCCGTCTCTCCCATTTCTGAGAGCTCGATCGATGAGGAACTGCACAACGCAGAAAACACGATATATCTTTTAGATATGCCTGATAATCGAACCCAAGGTGTTAAGTCGACATGGCCCACGACAATATCAGTAGCATAGGTGGGAACTTCATACCTAATTCAAGTTTAAAAAACAGATTCTGAGAAATGAGACATCAAGAATAATCGCTTTTCGAATAGGGAAGAAAGCTATCAATATCATTCAGGCAGCCGAGTGCCCGAACTTGGGTAGAAGAGTGGGGCGTTGATGCGTGGCGAAAATTATTTGGATCGCGAGAAAACTTCAATCTTGACTTCAATCTTGCGCGCACCGAGGAGAATATTCTAAGACAACGACCGTCATAAGTCAGATATTGATATGAGTAGATGTGTCAAAATTTTTGATTCGGCTTACAATCGAAAGGCGCAAATATCGGAGAACAACGACCTAACAACATCGACAGAAAAAAAAAGGATGTTGGCGGGGTAGATTACATCAGTAGATGCGGTTACATCACGTGATTGAACCAGTCCAGGACAGAAATCCAGCAAATTCAATGTGGAAGTCCGTATCATCGTTGGTTTGACAACAGCGTATCACAGAAAGCGTCAAAGCCCCGGATAACTAAGCGGGATCCTACTTCTCCTGAGTAATTGAACAAATCACTCCCAAATCACCGCATCAGGCAATCGAAGGAATATGTTGACTGAAATTTGACGACGAAGACGCCTTGGGCATTTGTGCAATTGCCGGCAGAAATTGACACTTTTTAATTAAGGTGCAGAGATCCGCGATGCTTTGCAAACACCCGTCGAATCCTGCAGTTGTTTTATTTAGATTCGTTGCTGGAGCGCTTGAGGCTCTCTAGAAAAAGGCTCAGTCGAGTGATGGTAACAGAGAACCGTGCACGCAACACAGATAAATAAGGCCGTTTCTCCATCCTACCCCGCTGAAAAGAGCACAATAAGACACCCCAAACCGTACAAATCGGCGACTTACGAGTTCGAGCCCTCGCGATTTATTTCTAGTCTTTGGAGTTTCCGAACGGTCCTCTGTCTATTTGCCCTAACCCCGAAGTTATCAAATATATCCTCGGACGAGGGTCGGCTCATTTACCCGCTTACATTTGGCCTCAATGGCTCATCTTACTATCTCTATTAGTCAACCATCCCCACCGATCTTCATCCTCGATCAACCAAGACCACGAAGGATGTCGACGAATTCGGGTTTGCAAGGCCTATGTGGTGTTTGTGATCATTCGAATAACGGACATGGTACAGCACCGTATCCGGCTCGCGGTTGCAGTAATAGGTGGAAACGATGTCAAATTACTGGTGGTTGTTTCAATTTGTCTAACAATTGGACATATCGAATATGCTATGGGTGCAAAGACCATCCAGTGCATATTGGAACATCGACCAAGCTGATGATCCTCTGGGACCACACTATTGAGCCTATAGGCGAACTAATAGTGTGGGAGGGGCCATTGTTGGTGTGTCTCAGTCGACTGAACCATGCTGTCCCTGCATCTGGGAAGAAGAAAAGACAGAGCTTATGCAAGTATAAGTGGATTTTAGTAGGTGGAGTCAAACTGAGGGGTTCAAGCACGGATCAGAGGGAACAGATCCCAAGGAAGGCCATGTTACTATATCCAGTCAGCCACAGGACCCCTGCGTAGTTTCTCGGTAAATATACCCCTTATACCAGAATGGAGCCCACTTAAATCTTTCATTTGGGTTTTTGGTTATAAGCAAGCTGTCATTGTCCTCTGCGACATCGATAAAATCTGCATAATAATGTCACACTAGGATTTATTTGAACGGAGTAGTTGGGTAGGGACAAACTTTGAATACCGACGGTTCGGAAACCTATGAACAGTCTGAGTTAGTCCTTGGGTTGAGATAAACAGCATGTCTAGTGTAGTGAATCAGTCAGCCGAATGTTTCAATGTTGAGAGCTCCAAACGTGTGCAACAGTTCTGTCAAGAGTCGCACTTTTATGTCTCCAAAGGAATCAGGACGATCTCAGTCCGGTCCGTGCATAGTACCGTTGGCCGAACGTTCAGTCCATTCTCTGAGAGTGTCCTGGAATCTAATACCTACATCTCTGTTGCCCCGGATTGCCAACCGAAGATGATGTTGGACTTTAGGACTGAGCCTGCTAGGTTCCGATTAACCCAATACTGATGACAGCCTCCCTGAAGTAGTGTCAACGAAAGACGATCGATGGCACAGTCCTGTTGTTAAAGCCTCAGTTGTACTTTTGGTAGCTTTGAGGTTTTCCAAAGGGCGCAGATGCTCCGCTGCGAGCTTTTGTGTGGGCAGTGGGCCCAGCAATATTGATTGGTTCGAAAGTCGTGAGCGAAAGAAATGCCAATCTGGAGTACGGTTAGTTGATGCGGAACAACGCGTGAATGAAGGCTAAACTCACTGTGGTATATTCAAGAGAAGTCTTTTTGTTTGGCAAAGTAGTTTGGAGGCAGAGGAATGATGAAGACCATTCTTTTTGGAGCAAGTGACTAAATATATATCCCTTTGAAATTTCATCACTTCAGACAGGCATGCTAAGGGGGAGAGGGCGATGTTTAGAGTTCCTAGGATTCGGACGAAATAGCTATGGGCCCTTAGTAGGCTCCTAGGAACGCCCCGCGGGCTCCCAGGAGCCCATCGGGGTATTACTTTTGATTGTTTGTCTTCGGCTTACAGATTACTTAGCAATGGCGCGAAAGACATGACGTTATACGCTCAGGAAAGCCTTCGGCCTGTGCGCTCATTGGCGAGAGAAGTGGTTCATCATCATCACCTGCTGAACACTGATTCCTCCAGTTGCCTTGATACAGAGAAGGGTTCTATATCTTCAAGGAAACCCATCCAATCGCCCTCGCCCTAGTAGTAATCTAAAGCCCGATTAGGGAATTCCTAGGAGCATAGGCTGAAATGGAAAATGATAGGTCAATTGAACAGCCCCGCTGTGAGTTTTTTTACTTGGATAGGATCGAGACCGCTAGACCGAACGGTTACGTTGACTGCGCCAGTCTTTTTTTGATGGGCGATCTAAATGGGAAGGGTTGCACGTGATGGGATTAGCGTGTCGCATTTTATTGATGTAGCTTACTCAGGCCGCTCATCCCTACACTCAGTGAGCACTCAGTGAGCAAATCAGAGTGCTCAGATGATGATCAGTGAGTGGATCAGGGTGCTCAGGGATGATCAGGTGATGCTCAGTGAGCAGATCACGTTGATTATGTAATGGCCCGTGATCAAGTCAGAATACTCAGGGACGTGCTCAGTTTTACTCAGTGATCAAAAAGCGGCAAGAGGTGAGCACTAAAACGGAAAGGGAAAGGTCTCGAGTGCCAGGCATTATCCGGTACATATGCATGACCGCCAGGTCCATCTATGCCTGTTCCACTTTTAGCACTCTCGGAATCCCAGCTACATACCCAATTCATGAGATATCTTCTGAAGGTTTATTGTAATCACTGAATAATATATATCTTATGGGGCTTTAATTCGTATGCATTATAAATGCACAAAGCTGTTGGGATTCAGAGCCAGTGACGAGTTCTCTGTGTCACTTTTCTTTTCTGGCTCTACGATGTACAATCGTTTTGTTTCTGGCAAGGGAAGAGAAGACAGAAAATGAAACTTAGCCCTGCCAAATCACATCCTTCTTCGGAGAGTACTAGGGATGTTCTGAGGTCGTCGTGGGTGATAAAGTTAAGGTTGCCCCGGCCGGCTCCACATGTACCGAACCTTCCAAGGTTGGGAGTTTCCCAAAGTAAACTGCCCACGTGGCTACCTAGTTATCCTTCAGGAAAAGGAAAGAATCCCAAGAAACCAAAAGAATATCAGTTGAATTGTTGGTTTCATAACCTAACCTGCAAACCCTAGAATGAAGCACACTATAACACCTTGCGGAATTAACTCGCTTAGTGCAAAGCCAACAAACAACAAACAATTAAACAATATGGATCCGGTCTGGACAAATAGTTCGACAAAACACAACTCAAAACACGTCAAAAATCAGAAGCATGCTCCATGAAACATTTGAAACCCAAGAAGAGCAGAAAGGTACATAACTGAAAACGCTCAGCACTGGCCAGGGTATTTACGGCTAGTGACGGGGTTAGGGAAGACACCGGCAGCCATTTGCTGCTGCATATCCCACTCAGGAGCACCCTCAGTTTTCCAGGTCCAGTAGAGCCAGCCGGTACCCTTCTCATAGGCATCGAGCTGACCTTCGATGAAGCGACGAAGGTTGGTTCGGTCATTCTCAGGCATAGCAGCCACGGATCCAGTAGACTTGCCCGCACAGCTGCCGATATGACTGCTACCGGAGAAAGTACCATCGTAGCGGGCGCCAATACCCTTTCCGTTCAGGTACTTGGCACAGTCGGTCATGGCACCGGTCCACTCACCAACAACAGTCCACTTATCAGAGGTCTGAACGTGGTCTTTGGCAAAGTTGCACACGTTCTTGACGTGGGTTTGGGTGTCCATGGCGAGAAGACCGCTGTCAAACACTTCGTAGTGGTGGGTGTCCATCATCACATACCAGACACCGGTAGACTGGCTCATGAAGCCGTTCCATGATTCAGTAGGGACGAAGCCGTCATGAATGACGAGCGTGGTGTTCTGGCTTGACTTTCGGATGCGGCCCCATGAATCGTAATAGTACTGTCTCAGACCATCCTGGCTGACTCCACCGGGGATGCTAGGCTCGTTCAAAGCCTCGATGGCAGTCACAACGTCTCCATCGCCTTTGTAGCGTGCGGCAAGAGCTTCCAGGGCATCCTTGGTGCTTTCAACGGTATCACCCTGTTGCCATTTAATAGCGCCGCGCTTTCCACTGTTGTCGAAGCCATTCTGAGAGCCAGGGGCTGCATCGTTGGTCAGTGGTTGTCATGTAATATATATATGGGGAAACGTACCTCCGTGCAAGTCAAGCATGACCTTGAGACCGGCGGAGCGAGCCCAGCCGATGGCCTGATCGAGATACTTAAGCTGACCATTGACGTATGGGTCACCATCCAAGTGCTTCACGGCCCAGTATCCTACTGGGATTCTAACGTGGTTCATGCCTGCCCTGGCGATTTGGTTCAAGTCGTCGGCAGTAATGAAAGTGCTCCAGTGGTCGGAAAGAACAGAGCGACATTGGTTCGCACCCAAAGTCGCACAAAGGGACCACTCATCAACAGCAGAATCGCCAACTGCATCAAAGATGGATGGAGTAATCCAGGGTTCTAATACCAGCCAACCACCGAGGTTGACACCCCGGACCTTGTTGGCGCCATAGTCGAAATTTAGACTACTATACACCGATGTATGTTAGTATGTGTATAAACCCGTGTACAGTAGACCTGTATTGCTGATAGAGAGGTACCACTTACACTGCGGGTGAGGCCTGCACCAAGGCTGCCATTAAAGACAGCCCAAGCAGGGTCTTCTGCGAGAACTTGGACATGGACGGCATACTGAAAGCCCTAACTCGGTCAGATCGAGAAAGTCAGGAGGCTGGGGTTGAAAGATGAAAAATGAGGAATGAAGTATGAGGAATGATTAGATTCGAGTTAAGCTGGAGATTAGCTGCTATAAGTAACTCAATGATCGGTGGCTGATCAGGTGGCCGGATGCAAGCAAACGAAAGGTTACGTGGGCGAGAACGGAAGCCCCCACGGGGCAGAGCAATTGAAGCAAGAATAACGTACCTATATAGATTCTTCTGCTGAATCAAGAAAAAGGTGGAGTGGCCGAAAACAGTAGTGGGTCGGAGTATCCCGGGGTTTGCGTTTTATAAACAAAGGCCTTGTTCTCTTGGTAAGGGTATCTCAGCAAGCGGCTTTGATATGTTGAAGGTGGCTGGACAGAACAATCCGGGGACTGTGAAAACTTCTTGACTTCGTCATCAGGTCTTTTGTTCTATTGTTCTATTTGGAAACTGCGACCCAATATCATTATCCGGGGAAGCTATACTTCACCTGTACAAATTAGGTTCCCCTTGCCATCTCCAACTCAATTTCCATCTGGTCTAGATACTTCTAATATAGACTACACATATTTTGCGCATATGTAATTTAGAGGAAAAGTGCCAACTATTGTTTGCAGCAAAATCTCAAAATCTCACATTCCCTGATGTGATGCTGATCGGCACGTGGCACTTGGACACTTTTTATGGAATGTTATTTCTTGGCAACTTCAAGACGTCCAGCTTGAGCTTGAGCATAAGTATATTTAAGTTAGTATTGGTGTAAAGATAAACTCAAATAGCTTCAGGTTATACAGCTCAAGCTATAGTGGTTTCACAAGACCGGGTATTTTGGGGACTGAGAACGTACATTTCTGTATATTTGCACTACCACGGCCATAGGTTCAATTCATGATAAAGCCCTCATTGAAAGAGCCAAGAGTCATTCGGAATCTAATATACTATTTAATGCGCTCGGAACATGGAGTGGGTATAACCAAGGCAGGGGACCTGTCGTCCTTAGTACTTCCGTTTTCGGCGACAAGTGCATTATATCTGAGACAAAATAACTGTAATTTATGACATGCATTGTACCCCAGATAGCTTCCATGTTACACTGCCACACTCTTACATCCACCTAATCCAGGGGCCATTGCCGACGCGTAGAGCATAGGTCTAGACCTTGCGGGTCTCGGGATTTGAATTTGTAACCTTGAGATCACATTAGACAGAATTCCTGGGCGGGAATGTCAATAATGTCAACACATCGGAATGTACATCCACATGTTTCACGGATCTTGATACTTGCGATCTGAGCGACTAAGTCACTTTCGGCTCAAGAGTTCTTTTTAAGTAGAACAGAGAAAAATAGAAAATATCTTCAAAACTAATGGTGTTTCCAAGTAGCGTGTAGACTAGACGCTTGATTATAACGATGGGCGCCGCTAATTGAGCCGAAGCAGACACCAAGTCGTAGCCTTGTTAATACAAGAACCCTCTCTGACCTTCAATTTCGTTCAGTTGTCTGGTCTGCCTACAATTATAAAAACTTTATGGCAATTCGCAAGGTAAAAAAGTGAACGAGTTGGGATTTCTATACTACACATCTCTTCTAGAGACCATCAAATATCTCTACGAGCTCTCGGATTGAGCCTCAGTAGCCGAATCCAAAGGAGCGGAAAGCCCGACCCGGTCAATAGTCCGAGTGTAAGCGACACCGCCGTTGACTCTGTCCTCGTGCACGATCAAGTCCTTGCGGTTAGTGTCGACAAGCAGACGGATCAAATCCGGACGCATATAGTGACCGCCGAAATCGGCCAAAGACTTAGTCAGATGGATTTCGTCGAGGTCAATCTGTTTAAGTACCGGTTAGTCTGACATTCTGATTAAGACAAAAGCATCATCCACTTACGTCAACGTAAAGAAGTCCTTGGAAGTCTTTGGAGGGGTGAGGAACGAGGTTCTGTCCATCGGGGCCATAGATACGGCCGTTTCCATTGTAGATGTTGGGATCCTCAAGCTCTTTTCCGGGAGGCGTGTTGAGCTTGATTCCCTCGGCAGTAATTGTCTGCCACGGTGCAAGAGTGAACGAGCCAGTCTCGATCGCATAAGCGGGGGTGACAAGCTGAGCATTCTTGTCAGTAATCAGATCAATTCCTCATCGCGGAAAAAAACAAGAAGGGGAAACATACATCTGCGTTTGCCTCGGCCACATTGGTGTATGGGTCCGGGTACTTGAGGGTCTCCTTTCCAGGATACAGAGGCCAAGCAGCGATGTGCACCTGCTCACCGAGCGAGGCAGCGTAGGCTTTCAGGAAAGGGTTCATGTTCTCCCAGCAGTTCAGGTGTCCAATGCGGCCGATCTCGGTGTCCATCACTGACTCGGTAGTGTCGCCAGTGCCATCACCGAAAACAAGGCGCTCGACGTGAGTGGCCTTAATTTTGCGACGGTGATTGATGACATCTCCAGCTGGGCTGATCATAATCTGTGTCGTATACAGACTGGCGAGATCAAGCTCCGAGTATCCAAGAGACACCCAAATCTTGTTGGCTTTGGCTGCCTCGCGGATGCGGCGCATCTCATCCGAGTTGGAGGCGAGACTGTTCTCACGATACTTCTTCAGCAGTGGCAGGCTCTCCTGGTAGTTTGTCTTCCAGGCCCAGTATGGGTAGCCGGGGATCCCTATTTTCATATGTTAGCACATTGTATCCGGCATTGAGGACTGTGATACTAACACAGCTCGGGGAAAGCAATCAGCTTGCAGCCTTCCTTTCCTGCTTCATCGATCCAGTGGATGGTCCGGCGAACGGATTCCTGGAGGTCGAACCAGCCAGGCTCAGCATTGACTGCTGCGGCCTTGTATTTCTTGAGAACGGGAACCATGTTGAGATATTTGTTGGATTGCGAGGAGTGCTTGCTTTGTAGACTGTTGTGTAGAATAAAAGTCTCTCTCTCAAGCTGGAAATGACCTCAATTTATAACAAGTCAAGCTGTCTTGTATGTTGACTTTCAAACAACGCCCTGCACCTCCCAAACCCCGAACGACAGAATAAGCAACATCATGAGACTCGGAAGCGCTCGGATTCGGGGACTGCTCTGAAGTTATTGAATAACGGTCGTCATAGTAGTGAAACACAACTCTGAGCCACGGGAAATGAATACGGGGTTTGCTTCAAGATGGTGTCACGCCAGAGGAGAGTTCCCGGAAGTTTGACATTTTGCATAAGCAAGCATATATTACCTAACCCGGGATCTGTCAGGGCTCTATCTGATTCAGATCATACCATTAGAGGTGAGCCTTGTCGCTGCAGAACTTCGGTGATCCGCCCTAATCCCGGGGTCATACAGAGCTTCCCGGATTGTTCCACCCAAATCCCGATATCAATCCAATCCCGATCATGATCAGTCACCAAGTTAACGGGAGTACGGGATTTGCATTGTTTGAATTTTATTGCATCTGATAGATTTTGGATCTCAACGAGATTCCAAGGTTGAACTGGACCATCGCATATGACCAATTGCCGCGGATTCCTAGACACAGGCAAATGTCTTAACTAGGCAATTGCATCTACGCCGCCATATTCCTGCTCTCTGTTACACGTTGCCTTGGTTATTTCGTTACCTTCTATCACTGGGCTGGATGCATGGTCGATTCCGAGACAATTCACATGTTGGGCGCTGGTATGTCATTCACAATGATTGGTAGTACTAATGCTGTCTGAGGTGGCTAAATAATGAATATGTCTTTACAGCTGGTTTAACGACTACAGTCGAACGTATCTAGACACAAAGTGCTGCCAGGAAAGCGTTTCAAGATCGAACAAAGCAAGGACATTTGGATATACAACCTGTGTACGAAAGCGATTGTCGAGATAGTGACTCCCATGGGTGAATTGATTTTCTACCTATTCCAACATACTATCTAATCATATTCATGATCAGTCCACTCGTCATCTGTCTCTCTCTCCCACAGATCCTCATCGTTGGTCGCTGGATGCTTGACGGTGGTCGCATTTTCGATGAATTCATTAATCCCCTCGATATGTAACAATCGGGGCAATTTGGTATCCTTCTCGGCGAGTAATTTCTCCAATTGCTTATCAAACACATCATCCGGAAGACCCTTGACCTGCGGTTTCATTCCCTTTTCGTACCCATAGATACAAAGCGCTTCCAAGTTTGGTGGGAGATGATCAACAATAGCAAATGATACATCGTCGACTTGATCGACACCGATACCTCGCGACAGGTAGTAGAGGGTATGGATTCCGAGACTCAGATTCTTCACGTTCGTAAGCCCACGAAGGGAGCAAGGCGATGATCGACCACCCTGGAGCTCTTGGAGTTCATCTGCCCACTCCTGCTGATAGGCGAGTTCGGATCTCGGCGATGGGTCATCGCTGTTGCCAAAGAAATGTTTTCTAAAAGTAGGGTCGAATGTCTCCGCTAGTGAGGTTTCGGCCTCGACATCCAAATCCAGATGTACCAACGAATCGGCATGTAGGAGGAGCGCTTGGAAGACGTGATCCGGGCTGAACATGCTCAAAATGCCATCCCTCGAGCCTCGGCCACCGACCGCATACGTAAACGCTTCCAGTCGTTTGGCCGACTCAATGACCCGCACCAGGTGGTGGTAATCGATATTGGAGTTACGAATGGTAATGCTGGTGTAATTCGCGGATCGGGGTGGGGGCTGAATACTCGACCTGTGCGTGCTCATAATCGCGTCGACTCGGATGGATTCTACTGCGGGGAGCCGGCGTACCAGGCTGAGGCTGCCATACAGATCATAGGGCTGGTAATAGTGCCAGTGATGGATACTTGTATCAGGATCGACAAGAAATCGGACCTGGCGGAGATGATGCAGGAACGGCAGGGTCTCCTGTGGGCTACTGTTCGCCCGGTCTAAGAAATGCTTGAAGAAATGATCACTTTTCCGGAGTGGAGTTCCATTGGCTTGGGCGGCTAGTTTTGTGAGTTTCGATGGTTCCTGGCCGACAGGGCAGAAACTCAACGATTCTAATAGTTGCGAAACGCTGACTAGTAATGCTGCCAATGCCTGGGCGAGGAACGGGGCTCGTGGGTCATTGTGGCTAATCAAAGTCAGAATCAAATATTTCTTTTGGGAATGTGCCAGCGAAGTCATCGAGCAGAGAATGGGGGAGGGAAATACAGCCTTGCTCCATACTAGCCGGCCTCTGTAGTAAGATATTAAGCACTTTCTCCTGTTCCTCTGGGCAAAAGCCGGTCTGCCTAATCGCCGCAGTCAGGCGGACCTGGACCTTTGATCGAAGGGACTGTTGCGGCGGTTTGGCTGTGTATCACTGCACAAATCCATAATCTAGCGACGGGGATCGGTTGAGCTCTATGTGGCGAACATACCCCCCATACCGAGGGGTTTTGAGGATCGATCGGAGAATTTTGAAAGCCACTGCCAGATCCAGGGGCTCTCGGAGTTTCACGCGGCGGTATTTGCGCCGATTGGACATGTCACAAAGCTGATGCCAGCGGTGGCATTGTAGAGACAGCGCTGCTGCATCGGTATGAGATGGCAGGTAAGATAGGATCTGCAGGAGGATTTTGTCTGGAAGAGATTGGAGAAACATATTTGATACTGGGAAAGTCCAGTGATATCAAAAAATGCAGTCTTTCGTCGAGGGGCAGGAAAGAGAGAGAGCACATGCTGTGACGGAATGGGCTGTAATTCGGGTTTCGGGGCATCATGGCCCTTCTATATTTGCTTTCGCCAGTTCTACGTTTGAGGTTGGCTTCTAGGACTAGTATGCACAGGATTGGGATGGCGTATTGTCTACATGTATGGACCAAAACGAGGTGTACAGTTACACTACGAAGTGTCAACACCGATCAATATTCTGCCAGCAAATTAATTGTAAACCAATCAAAATTTAGGAGAACTGGACGGTGTGCTTTTAGTAGAAGGCGGTAAATCAGGGTGCCAAACCTTTTGCGTAATCATTGTATCATTGAAGTTTTCTGTAATTTTGTTATATCATTTCCGCCCTTTTGAATAAATTCAAGCTCTGCTGAGAATATTCTTAACTCTTAACTCGGTGCAGTGGACGATCTTTATTATCTGTTTAAGAAACTTTTAGGAAACTCGAGAGCCACCTCTTACTCTAGAATCCCACGTCGGTAATACTTGCGAGCGTTTGGCATTAGGGCTCCAACCCGAAACGGCAAAATTGGATATAGTAATTCACAGGCCCGTTTACAATATATGAGGATCTGCACATCTTGTTATTTTCTTGCTTTGGAAAGTTAACTACCAAATAAATACGCATAAATGGATCTAGACATGAAAATTCTCATCGAACTTTATCTATAGCGCAGCTGATCAATGGCTTGGCACAATGAAAGTGCTTCGGTCGATAGCTCTGGTTGGGTTTCTGTTATTGTCTATAACTAGTGCTCTCCTGTGGCTATTTAGCAATGCAGGAACAATCTCAGGAATACGTCTTATCCAAGCTGGTTAGTTCAACTTGGGCTCATTCCGACCATATTTAGCAATTGGACCGTCCTGTCTACATATATAGCATTGGCTGCTGTGATCAATAACCGGACCTGTTGTACACTTGATTAGAACAACACTGCCAACTATCATTTTATTCTTGCAATATTCTTAATCAGGGCTAGCGGAACCGACCAACTGACCAACTGACCTACGATTTGAGACCGGCTCCAGATACTCTACATTTGGGGTCAGTCATATTTTCAACAAAATCAGCATCTCAGTAGCGTATTCACTTGTACGGTACCTCAACAACGGCAATTTACAGTGGACTAAATGTGGCTATGTTACTTTTGTTATTATTGCAAGAATTAGGAGGTTGCTTTTGCTGGTGAGCCTTAGTTGCTGGGGGTAAATACTTAGCCAGGAAGGAGGTCATAGATCGGGTTCGAGACACATAATGATTCAGCCCACCGGGGTTTTCCTAAATCAAGAACATCAAAAAGGATTTGTTCCTTTACCTCAAATCTTCCTTAAATCGCCTTTCTATCACACCATTATTCAAGTTCAACAAATCTAATTGGAACCTCAACAAGACCTCGGGGCTCACTGTAAGCCCCGCTCGTAGAACGCGGGGAAGAACGTGGGCGGAGCACCCCCGAAGCCCAAAAACCAGCCGGCTAAACGACTCGCCAATCGAGACGAGAGGATCGTCGCGCCAAGCCAGACTCTGAGGGTCAAGGCGGCCTGTCTTAACTCTTAAATTGAAAGCTGATACAACATTAAGCTACCACGTCGTCAGAGACAGCGGGGTGGCGCGACATTCGTCCGTCATCAAGAGTGTAAGTGAATGATATATCGTAAACGATCATGGCCAGACAGACCTATTTATCAAATATCCCGCTCAGAGTGGGGACGCTGGTGTGCCATGCAATCCGGAAGCAAGGGATTCGATAGAAACGCGATCCTTGCTCGCAACAATGCGAGATCAAATCATTCCATGTAAACATGACTTCATTCTTAGACTTGGCCTGGACATGCAGATGAGCTGCATATCTCGGCCAACGGATGAGACAGCAAGCAATACCACTTCCCTTGCACGTGAAATGCATGTCTGTGGTAAGGTAGATGGGCTGTCGTCCGTGTGTTTGCGATCGGCGTTGAGATTATTGCGGTATTGGGCAGAGCAATCGGAACAGACCGAACATTCCGTCGCGTGAGCAAAAGCCCAGCCAAGTTAGGATCAGTATTTTGCTAGCGAGAAATGCTCCACGGCCCACCACTGCCGTGATTTGTCGCTCCCTAGAACCGGACATAGAGTTTGGGGTGAAAATTGTCCAGGATCTTTTATTATTGTGTCTGTAGTGTTCGGATAATTTCGATTTGTCTGGAGAATCCACAGCTTGAGTCTCAGTAGTAGGCAGCTCACCGTTTGTGACTGGCTTACTATGTGCACATCGACATCATTGCTGCCCGGCTCTTGGCTCCTGCGCTGTCAATAACGCCAAGCAGCGGCTAATGCTCCCTGTGATCAGACACCAGCCAGCGGCCGACATGCTTGCGATCCTTGGTGAATCTCAATTTCTGGGCATCCTGTGTACTTCCTGCGGGGTTAGCCCTTGTGGGGGCGTCTCTGCCAAGTGGGCATGTTGTATGCAGGGAAGCACAGTGCCATGAGTCTGTTAGTCCTGCGTACGCAGGGTCCGATGTATTTAAATCCAGGGACAGGCCCAATCATACTCAGAATGTGATATTTTATTCTGAAGATCTTTGGTACTGTCACTGTGGTGTGCATATATTTCTGTCAGAAGATCTGAGTGCCTCCGATCAACATGCGTTTAGCTCAGAGTTTTGTCTTGTCGTGCCTGGTGGCGACGGGTCTAGCTCTGCCTAGCAATGAAGGCACCAAGCACCAGGAAAATAAGGCGCGCAGTGCAGGTTACTCTCTGAAGGAGCCTCCCTTGACAACGCCATGGACTGATAAAGTCGGAACGAAGCCATGGCCTGAATATCCGCGGCCGTTGCTGCAGCGCTCTGATTGGAAGAATCTCAACGGAGTGTGGAAGTACCAAAGTGCTCCAAGCCTCGATGCTGTTCAGCAGCCACCTTTTGGGCAGGAACTTGCACAGGATGTTTTGATTCCGTCATGTCTTGAGAGTGGATTGTCCGGTAGGTCTTGCCCTGCTTGCCACGTTACCATCAAAATTAACAAAAATCCACAGGAATCCAAACCGACTCGGCTTTGTACTCTTGGTTTTCAACATCCTTTAAAGTATCTTCTTCTTGGAAGGGTGAGAAGGTACTGCTCAATTTTGGAGCTGTAGACTATGAAGCCACAGTCTTTGTCAATGGCCAAAAGGCAGGCTTCCACCGTGGCGGATACTTCCGCTTCGCCGTAGACGTGACGAAGTACCTGAAGTTTGATCAGCAGAATGAGCTGTGAGTATCTCGTGATCATAACGCAGTCGACTTCCATATCTGACTTCAAATACAGACTCATTTTCGTGCATGATCCCACTGACGATGGGGACTATGTTATCCCCATTGGAAAGCAGACCCTAAGACCCAGTCACATCTTTTATACCCCATGCAGTGGTATATGGCAAACTGTTTGGCTCGAGGCTGCCCCAGCCAACCACATTACCCAACTCGATCTTGACGCAAACATGGATGGCCAAGGTAAATGCCCGGTCACAGTTTGTGGAAAAGTTTGGTTCTGATTGCATACAGTGAACATCACTATACACAGCTCCGCCACGGATAAACCGGCCCAGGCCGAGGTCACGGTCCATAAAGATGGCAAGACTGTTGCAAGCCACAAAGGCCCCACCAACAAGCCATTCCAATTTACCGTATCCTCGCCCAAGCTGTGGTCTCCAGACTCACCAAACCTGTACAATGTGACTGTCAAACTCGGCAAAGATAAGGTGGAGAGCTATACCGGGTTCCGTACAATCTCCAGGGGTAAGATCGATGGGATTGAGCGACCCTTGCTCAATGGAGAATTCATTTTCATGTTCGGAACCTTGGATCAAGGCTATTGGCCCGATGGTCTATACACCCCACCCAGCAAAGAGGCGATGGTGTACGATTTGGAGATGCTAAAGAAGTTGGGATTCAACATGGTCCGCAAGCATGTGAGTGCCACCGCGTCACATCATATTCCATGGTATCTATTGCTCACACCGTTGAATACAGATCAAAGTCGAGACCGATTTATTCTATCAAGCATGTGACGAGCTCGGTCTGCTTGTAATTCAGGACATGCCTTCCCTACGTCCGTCGCAGTCCAGGAGGGGACCAGACGGCAACTCCTATACTATCCTACCGGACGAGAAGCAGCAGGCTGAGTTCGCTCGCCAGTTAGATGTGCTGATTAACCAGCTCAAGAGCTTCCCCAGTATTGCAACTTGGGTAAGTTATGGTTTTCGGTGAAAGCCAGAAATATGCTAACCACTATCTCAAGGTCATTTATAACGAAGCCTGGGGCCAGATCACGGACTATTACCCCGAGTTTGAGTTGACCGAGAGGGTTAGACAGCTGGACCCCACTCGGCTTGTGGACTCGACGACTGGTTGGGACGACCACGGCGCTGGAGACTTTAGTGTATGCAACCTTCGCTTGTGGCTCAACCACGTGGCTAATCAACATATCATAGGACAACCACCACTACGCAAACCCACAATGTGGCACTCCCTTCTATTCCCTACGCTCGAGCCCATATGATCCTAGCCGGATTGGGTTCCAGGGTGAATTTGGCGGCATCGGGACTAATGTATCCATTGAGCATCTCTGGAACAACCAAGCAGCCATTAATACTATCGACCAAACATACGAGATCGATGAAACCATCGAGGCATGGAATTATCGCAGCCACCTCCTCCTGAACGAACTCGAGGATCAGGTCCGCATGTACGCATGCAGTGGGGGTGTTTGGACGCAGACGACCGACGTCGAGGGTGAGGTCAACGGCCTGATTACGTATGACCGTCGCTTGGCAAGAGTCGACGTGAAGCAGTGGCAGGCAGATATTAAGGCTCTCTACGATGCTGCCGCCGCACGGAGCAAGGCGAAGTGAAAAGCTCATTATATATATAGTGGACAGACTGCTCCATCCGAGGCTATCTGGAGTAAAT